TGTGGGTGCACATACATCCTTTTACCACCAGCTGATATAAGATTACGCTGTGTGTAGGGGGGAGGGGGGGGGGGGTCGTCATGTTAGAGAAGAGTGCAGAGGGCTGTGTGATACGGGTTTTAAACACCCTTTTACCACAAGCTAAAATATGATTACACCTGTGTGTAGGAGGGGAGGGGGAGGGAGGTTGTCGTGTTTGAGAAGAGTGCAGAAGGCTGTGTGATGTGGGTTCACAACACCATTTACCACAAACTAAAACATGATTACACCTGTGTGTAGGGGGGGGGGGAGGCAGGGGGAGGTCGTCATGTTTGAGAAGAGTGGAGAGAGCTGTGTGATGTGGGTTCACAACACCCTTTTACCACAAGCTAAAATATGATTACACTTGTGTGTAGGAGGGGGGGGGGAGGGGAGAGTTGTCGTGTTTGAGAAGAGTGGAGAGAGCTGTGTCATGTGGGTTCACAACACCCTTTTACCACAAGCTAAAATATGATTACACCTGTGTGTAGGAGGGGAGGGGGAGGGAGGTTGTCGTGTTTGAGAAGAGTGGAGAGAGCTGTGTGATGTGGGTTCACAACACCCTTTTACCACAAGCTAAAATATGATTACACTTGTGTATAGGGGGGAGGGGGAGGCAGGGGGAGGTCGTCATGTTTGAGAAGAGTGCAGAGAGCTGTGTGATGTGGGTTCACAACACCCTTTTACCACAAGCTAAAATATGATTACACCTGTGTGTAGGAGGGGAGGGGGGAGGGAGGGTGTCGTGTTTGAGAAGAGTGCAGAAGGCTGTGTGATGTGGGTTCACAACACCCTTTTACCACAAGCTAAAACATGATTACACCTGTGTGTGGGGGGGGGGGTCGTCGTGTTTGAGAAGAGTGCAGAGAGCTGTGTGATGTGGGTGCACGTACATCCTTTTACCACCAGCTGATATAAGATTACGCCTGTGTGTAGGGGGGAGGGGGGGGGGGTCGTCATGTTAGAGAAGAGTGCAGAGGGCTGTGTGATACGGGTTCACAACACCCTTTTACCACAAGCTAAAATATGATTACACCTGTGTATAGGGGGAGGGGGTAGGCAGGGGGGGGGGGGTCGTCATGTGAGAGAAGAGTGCAGAGGGCTGTGTGATATGGGTTCACAACACCCTTTTACCACAGCTGATATAAGATTACACCTGTGTGTAGGGGGGGGGGGGCCTGTGTTTGAGAAAAGTGGAGAGAGCTGTGTGATGTGGGTTTACAACACCCTTTTACCACAAGCTAAAATATGATTACACCTGTGTGTAGGAGGGGAGGGGGAGGGAGGTTGTCGTGTTTGAGAAGAGTGGAGAGAGCTGTGTGATGTGGGTTCACAACACCCTTTTACCACAAACTAAAACATGATTACACCTGTGTGTAGGGGGGGAGGCAGGGGGAGGTCGTCATGTTTGAGAAGAGTGGAGAGAGCTGTGTGATGTGGGTTCACAACACCCTTTTACCACAAGCTAAAATATGATTACACTTGTGTGTAGGAGGGGAGGGGGGAGGGAGGTTGTCGTGTTTGAGAAGAGTGGAGAGAGCTGTGTCATGTGGGTTCACAACACCCTTTACCACAAGCTAAAATATGATTACACCTGTGTGTAGGAGGGGAGGGGGGAGGGAGGTTGTCGTGTTTGAGAAGAGTGGAGAGAGCTGTGTGATGTGGGTTCACAACACCCTTTTACCACAAGCTAAAATATGATTACACTTGTGTATAGGGGGGAGGGGGGAGGCAGGGGGAGGTCGTCAAGTTTGAGAAGAGTGGAAAGAGCTGTGTGATGTGGGTTCACAACACCCTTTTACCACAAGCTAAAATATGATTACACCTGTGTGTAGGAGGGGAGGGGGGAGGGAGGGTGTCGTGTTTGAGAAGAGTGCAGAAGGCTGTGTGATGTGGGTTCACAACACCCTTTTACCACAAGCTAAAACATGATTACACCTGTGTGTAGGGGGGGGGGGTCGTCGTGTTTGAGAAGAGTGCAGAGAGCTGTGTGATGTGGGTGCACGTACATCCTTTTACCACCAGCTGATATAAGATTACGCCTGTGTGTAGGGGGGAGGGGGGGGGTCGTCATGTTAGAGAAGAGTGCAGAGGGCTGTGTGATACGGGTTCACAACACCCTTTTACCACAAGCTAAAAATATGATTACACCTGTGTATAGGGGGAGGGGGTAGGCAGGGGGGGGGGGGGGGGGGGTCGTCATGTGAGAGAAGAGTGCAGAGGGCTGTGTGATATGGGTTCACAACACCCTTTACCACCAGCTGATATAAGATTACACCTGTGTGTAGGGGGGGGGGGGGTCCTCGTGTTTGAGAAAAGTGGAGAGAGCTGTGTGATGTGGGTTTACAACACCTTTTACCATAAGCTAAAATATGATTACACCTGTGTGTAGGAGGGGAGGGGGAGGTGGGGTGGGGGGGGGTCGTCATGTTTGAGAAGAGTGGAGAGAGCTGTGTGATGTGGGTTCACAACACCCTTTTACCACAAGCTAAAATATGATTACACCTGTGTGTAGGAGGGGAGGGGGGAGGGAGGTTGTCGTGTTTGAGAAGAGTGGAGAGAGCTATGTGATGTGGGTTCACAACTTCCTTTTACCACCAGCTGATATAAGATTACAACTGTGTGTAGGGGGAGGGGGAGGCAGGGGGAGGTTGTCATGTTTGAGAATAGTGCAGATAGCTGTGTGATGTTGGTTAACAACACCCTTTTACCACCAGCTGAAATATGAATACACCTGTGTGTAGGGGGGATGGGGGGAGGCAGGAGGAGGTTGTCATGTTTGAGAAGAGTGCAGAGAGCTATGTGATGTGGGTTCACAACTTCCTTTTACCACCAGCTGATATAAGATTACACCTGTGTGTAGGGGGGGGGGGGAAGCAGTGGGAGGTTGTAATGTATGAGAAGAGTGGAGAGAGCTGTGTGATGTGGGTTCACAACACCCTTTTACCACCAGCTGAAATATGAGTACACCCGTTTGTAGGCGGGAAGGGGGGGGGGGGAGGTTGTCGTGTTTAAGAAGAGTGCAGAAGGCTGTGTGATGTGGGTTCACAACACCCTTTTACCACAAGCTAAAATATGATTACACCTGTGTGTAGGAGGGGAGGGGGGAGGCAGGGGGAGGTCGTCATGTTTGAGAAGAGTGCAGAGAGCTGTGTGATGTGGGTTCACAACACCCTTTTACCACCAGCTGATAAATGATTACACCTGTGTATAGGGGGGGGGGGAGGAGGCAGAGGGAGGTCATCATGTTTGAGAAGAGTGCAGAGAGCTGTGTCATGTGGGTGCACTTAAAACCCTTTTACCACCAGCTGAGATATAATTGTATCCTCAGGCAGTATGCCGGTATGCCTTGACAGATTTCTTTCAAATTTTGTATGGAGGTGTATCTTGGTATAATCTACACACCCATATCTTTTGGTGATGCTGCCCCTAGTGTTCCGTCTTCTATAGGGTAAAAGGCCATATTTTTGTGGCTATCCTTTTGCGCACTCACATAACTGCCACATTTCTTGACAGATTTCTTTCAAATTTTCTATATAATTATACTCTAATCTACACACTTATTATCCCCTCACCGACAAAGTCGGAGGGGATATAAAACCGCTGCCGTGTGTCCGTAACAAATTTCGTTTCAGATCGATAACTTCAGTAATGTTTGACACATTTTAATGAAATTTGATATGAAGGTAGATAATATCAAAATACAGGCTAAGTTTGATTTTGGAGTGTGTAAGTCAAAGGTCATAGCTCATTAAATATGCAAATCTGGTTTCCGATCCATAACTTAGTATTGTTTTGACAGATTTTAATGAAATTTGATGAAGGTACATGGTATCAAAATACATGTACAGCCTAAGTTCGATTTCTGAGTGTGTAGGTGAAAGGTGAAAGGTCATAGCTCATTAAATATGCAAAAACACCTAATTAAATATGTAAAAATGTGGTGAACTTCCTTGCCTAGTAATATAATAGTGTAGTCCAATGGAGGTAATTTGTTCTGACGTATATAGGCCATTTGTACCCTGCGGGGGATGCTTCGCTTTGCGTTGACTTGTTGTTTGGTAATGCTGCTCCTAGTCATGGCAATAGCCTGAGCCACTAGTGGTGACCTCTCTTCGTCATCCTTATGTTACAGGGAGGGGAGAGGGGATCTTTGTCCCTCCTTCGAACGTAAGGATGACACAAAATCACTGCCACTGCCGGTGGAAACATTCACATTGCGCGGCAATACAGATTGCGATATTTCTAGTTATCATTATCATTACCCTTATATTGTAATGTTTGATGATGATTGTTTTTATTGTTATTAATTGATAATTGATATTGATTTATTCTTGTCCACAAAAGTGAAAAATGTGTCTTCCACCAGCACAACACGATTTGAAACAACAAAAACATAATGTACAAATTTTAAAAAATAGGATAATAAACAAAATACTGATAACGACAATACAGGTTAATTTAGATACTCAGTATTGCACCAGAAATGTTAATGTGTTCCATCATGACCATAAACTTTTCTTGCATCACCAATAATTTATATTAACCCTTTGACTACTGTACCAGAGTGGTCTCTGTATTAAGCCTATGGGAATAAGAGAATTCAGTAGTCTATAGGTTCACATTATTTTTTAATTATACCAATTATTCAGAGAATGAAAGGGTCTGCATATTGTAGAGTCCAAGATTATTAAAGGTGTAGACCAGTTTTGGAAACGCCCCCCTGTCACAAAAATGAAATGGAAGCTCTTATTACCGATCATGTGAAAGAATATGTTTTGACTAATATGTGATGATACAAATTTTGCCGGGAAACCGCCTACTTATTGATATATTTGGTAAATTATCATATTTATCCGTCCTGGATAGATATAGGGTAGTCCCATATACATATTTATGTGTACAGTGCTTATGATCAACCTTTTCTGATCGATTCCACGTTTCTTTCACAATGCAATCGCATGACCAGAACTAGTTTATACCTTTAGATATTTTCAATATATTATGATGATATCCAACAGGAGCGAGGATTTGTTCTCCATTCTACCGATGTTGTTCAGTGATGAGAGTGATCTTGGTTTGGATCATGTACAGCTACAGCATCTTGTGAATGGATACAAGCAGCTACAGAAGGCCAAACTACTCACTAGACAAGTATAACAAATCTCAGAAAATACCTCATTAATGTGATAACTTGATAAAATTGAACCAGTGTTGACTAAACTGGGCTGAGGTATGTACAAGCATGAACAGATTGAACGAGAAGTTTGGGTTTGTGAGGTCAGATGCTAAAGGCTACAGAATCATTGATCAATGGATATACACAGAGGACAAAGCATATTACAGACACAGTCTTGTTCATCTTGTTTATTACAAACTGTTTACCTTTGTTAGTTTAGGAGAAGAGCATGAAGTGATGTTCGACTAAATAGGTACATATTGAAAAAAAACATTCCAAATTATTTTGTACATGGCAAGTTGAAAGTGTACTCAAAAGGTTTATGTAGAATCTGATCTCTGCGCCATTTCCCCTACTCATAGGCCCGAATGCACAAAGGAGGTTTGTCGACAAACCGAGGTTTATGTACGTCATATGACGCGTTTCGACGTGTTTTGTACAAACCTGGTTTGTAAATAACAAAAGGAGGTTTGTCTACAAACCTCCTTTGTGAATTCGGGCCTGAGGGTGTGAACGCAAATGTACCTGTTCTCATTTGTCTAAATGATGTCATTGAAATGGGAATGGTATTTTCTTTAAGATAACATATTTCTAATCAAACAACAAAATATGTAATTTGAATGACTAAATACATTTTCTCTAGCCACCCATTTTATTTTTGTGTTCAGTTCGGTGTCAAAATTAGTAATGACTTGGGAATTATGTCTTTGTTGATAGACGACCAACCAGGCTTTGTCCATCTTGGACTTTGTGATGCGTGGGCTGGTCAGGAGAGGAGAGGACGGTCAGGAAGCGAGAAAAATGACCCCTTCAGAGATTGACTTAGGTCAAAGGTTACTTGAGCTGGCATTCCAGCTCGGAGTCCAGGTAATTTTTTTTTACAGTAACTGTAGATCTGCACTTTGCTGTTTTGTATTCATCAATCATTGGCTACTTCCTTTTGAGATTTGTTTTGAGAGAGTGATTAGAAATGTATGAAACTATTAAACTCATGGAAGTTTTTAGCATAATGTAAAACAAAGTAAAGTTTAATATGTATTATGTTAGTAATACTATTAACTATGCCTACATTTCTTTGAATAATAATAATAATAATAATAATAATAATAATAATAATACATTTATAGAGCGCAGAAACTATCCAACATTAAGTATATATTCTACTGCGCTACAAGAGCTCCTGATATTTAATTTATATTAGTTTCTTCATCTTTTTTAAAGCAATACACATTTCAAATTAGTGTGAATCAAAGTTTTCAAGGGCTCAGAGGCATTGATATGGATGATGGCTTCGGTATTGCTTTAATATCAATCTTCATGAAGCATACAGTGGAAGAAATATAATGTGAGATAAATCACATAGTATATCATCTGTAGAGAGCCAGAAGGGCATTAACTCTGTGTAAAATATACAAGTTAATGCCCTTCTTTCTCTAAGCAGAGGATACGCAGTATGGTATTATATTTCAAAGTTATTAAGTATATTCAAGCGGTAGGTGATATGTAAGATTCAACAAAAATTCTGCATTCGTATATAAATAGTGAATTATAAATCAATGTTTCTTCAGTCTGTCTGATTTCCTTTCTGGGGGCTCCTGTCCTTGTTGATTGTTGATCTCTGAATGGAATAGTAATGTGGGTCTTTGTTATATTGAATGAATACAAAACCTTTTTTTTTTTAATTATCAGACGAACAGCTTGATTGATTGCCTGTTGAAGACCACACCCGTCGTCAGCTCAACACGAACTCTGACCTCTAGGTTGTCTGCCTCCCAGACCAGCCTGGGTGTTCTATTCCTGACGACGTACAAGCAGCCAATCATGGACCAGCTTGTTAAGCATGGACAGGACACTGTGTATGAACTGAGCGATCGGGTTAGAGAGGATAGAGGGACTATAGGGATGATCATCTATGGCTTGCTGGAGCATGCTGTGGGGAACAGAGAGATCAGGAAGAGGTTTGGAGCAGATAATGAAAGAATTGTTGAAACATTACAGTTTTAATGTGATAGTTAGGGTGTAGAAGTGATTATGTATGGCTAGAACATGCTGTGGGCAACAGAGAGATCAGGAAGAGGTTGAAGCAGAGATATAAAGAATTGTCAAAAGTTTTAATGTGATAGCGAGTGCATTGCTAGAGTATAGAGTGATGATGTGTGGCTAGAAGATGCTGTGGGCAACAGAGAGATCAGGAAGAGGTTTGGAGCAGAGAGATCATTAAGAATTGTTGAAACATTAAAGTTTTAATGTGACAGATATTGCATTGCTAGAGTATAGGAGTGATGATGTGTTGCTAGAAGATGATGTAGTCAACAGAGAGATCAGGAAGAGGTTTGGAGCAGAGAGATCATTAAGAATTGTTGAAACATTAAAGTTTTAATGTGACAGATATTGCATTGCTAGAGTATAGGAGTGATGATGTGTGGCTAGAAGATGATGTAGTCAACAGAGAGATCAGGAGTATAGGAGTGATCGGACAGAGAGATCGGAAAGAGGTTTGGAGCAGAGAGATCATTGAGAATTGTTGAAACATTAAAGTTTTAATGTGGTAGTTAGATTATAGCAGTGATTATGTGTTTGGAGCAAAGAGATCATTAAGAATTGTCAAAAGATTAAAGTTTTAATGTGACAGATAGTGCATTGCTAGAGTATAGGGGTGATGATGTGTGGCTAGAAGATGCTGTAGGCAACAGAGAGATCAGGAAGAGGTTTGAAGCAGATAATTAAATAATTGTTAAAACATTAAAATTTTAACATGATAGTTTGTGCATTGCTAGAGTATAGGAGTGATGATGTGTGGCTAGAAGATGATGTAGTCAACAGAGAGATCAGGAAGAGGTTAGGAGCAAAGAGATCATTAAGAATTGTTGAAACATTAAAGTTTTATTGCATTGTTAGAGTATAGGAGTGATGATGTGTGGCTAGAAGATGATGTAGTCAACAGAGAGATCAGGGAGTGGTTAGGAGCAGAGAGATCACTGAGAATTGTTCAAAGATTAAAGTTTGAATGTGATAGTTAGATTATAGCAGTGATTATGTGTGGCTAGAACATGCTGTAGGCAACAGAGTGATCAGAAAAGGGTACACCTGTAGATAGATTTAACTTTATTACGATAATTAACATAGTCCTCCCTGATAAATTGGCATCTCTTGATCTACTAGCTGTGAAGAAGTCCCAATTTGTGAGGATCATAATGTTCCACTATTTCAGTGACATTCTTACTGATGTTGATTTACTTCAAGGCAGCACTTAAGAGCTGCGGTCTATCCATCAAGTTTGAATTGTTTATTATTTATTGTTTCTTTTGGTCTAGATACGGTATGGCTATTTACAGTGCTGTCCTGACTCAGTGGGAAACCCTATCAAACCTGGGACAAGAAGATGACTTCATGCTCAATCTGATGAAGAAAGTTCTCCAGATTGATTTCAAGGTAACTTACTGGTTTACCATGGATGAGAAATAAACATATTATATCGATTATATATTTAAAAATATCTCTACATGAAAATGAATGGCTTATACATTAGAGATCATGACAATTTCCATGCCATTGTCCTCCAGGAAAATGTCTGTACTTAATTTATTTGCTTATGCTTGTTGCTCTTCACCTAGTTTGCCACAGACCCAACCCACCTTGCATTCTGTCCAGTCTTCAACCAGTACCTGAGCATGCTAAGAGACCCCAAGAAGCCTCTTGCCTGGAAGACTCAAGTTCTTGATGTCCTCTACTTCTTTGCTAATGTACCGGAGAAAGAAGAGAAGGAACTCAAGTAAGAAACTTCAGTTTCAATTCAATTTACTTTACACACGTATTTCAAACAAGCAATAAGACCACATGTTGTAGAAACTCATTACACTTCACTTTCCAAAGAATGCAAATACATAATGAAACATAACATATTATATTAACAGTCATATTGTTTGAATTGGGGACAGTTGGGGAAGAACAAATCTTACATAAGAAGCTGTCCGAGAAGAATATTGCGTAAGATTGAATTGAAATACTATGATAACAAATGAGTTATTGCAATAGGTGTTTGCTTGGTTGTATATACAGAAGGCAATATAACAAACAAACCAGTGGATAGAATAGAGATGAAAAAAAGAGGTAGAATAGTCCTTGCCCACATCTGTCTTTACATTGGATGAAAGCCTTTCTGGATTTAAACAGTCATTATGTTCAATCTGTGATCAGGAAAACTATGTGTAAGAAAGCATCATTCATGTACAGTACCGCTATTATCTCTAAAACCGAACAAGGATTTTTTTTGGAAAGTCACGTCCCACTATTGCATTTTCTATGTGTGATTTAGATCTGCTCTGGACCTTCTTGTTGCGAACCACTTTCCCCTCAAGTCTACAGACCTTGACGCAGGAAGCCCCCGCTATAATGACTATATCATGGCACTCAACAAGGTAAAATAGAATATTTGTGCATTATCTGCAATGCAGATTTTTACAATGGACTATTTTATACATTCTGCATTGTTTTAGAGGTTTTACATTGTTCGTTAGGACATGGTGGGAGAGAGACGATGGGCAGATAAATAAAAAGAAAATTATTAAAGAAAGAGAGATGCAGAGAGAGAGAGAGGGGGAGAAATATGGTCAGACGGAGACAGACAGCAAAGATTGCTTTAAAGGGAGAATAAGGAGAAAGAGATAGGGAGGGAGAGAGAAGCAAGGAGATGGAGAGAAGAGAGAGAGAAAGAAAAAGAGAGAATGTAAGGAGTGGATAATGATACTGGGATTCCACGGGTCAGATCTTGTTGCTGGCAAATGATACACAACATAAATGCTCAGAATTCATAGTCAACATTTCACATGTAGATGTCCTCACAAAGCCTGTATGCACTCTCTCTAGTAGGGATAACCTCAGTCTAGCCAGTGACTTTAGACATGTATGTGACATTCGCAATGCTTTCGGTTGCTTTTTGTCAAGATTCTAACCTCCCTGGTGATGAGTGGAAGCCTGATGCTACTTAAACTCATCATCAGCATCCTCTGCAGAGATGAGAAACACAGCTATGAAGACAAGATACAGGGCGCCCTCTCCTCGTTCGCCAAACGGTGAGTCACTCAGCCTCGTTCGCCAAACGGTGAGTCACTCATTCAAGTTCGCCAAACGGTGAGTTACTCAGTCAAGTTCGACAAACGGTGAGTCACTCGGTCTTGTTCGCCACACGGTGAGTCACTCACTTTTGTTCGCCAAACGATGAGTCACTCAGTCAAGTTTGCCAAACGGTAAGTCACTCGGTCTTATTCCCAAATGGTGAGTCACTCAGTCTTATTTCCCAAATGGTGAGTCACTCAGTCTCATTTGCCAAACGGTGAGTCACTCAGTCTCATTCATCGGTTCTGATTGTGAACCTCTTCCATTCTGTGGGCAGCAAATCCTGTCGAAAAATATATGTGTGATGGATAATTTGTTTTAACTAAATTGTTTGTTTTTGAACATGTGAAATTTATTTGTTAATTGATATCAATTGGCAGCCTTCCTTCTGAGAAGCAGTCTGCAGCTGCCAACATCCCTTTTGAGATCTTCAAGCAAGACAAGCGATACCTGATATCTGATTGTGAACCTCTTCCATTCTGTGGGCAGCAAATCCTGTCGAAAAATATATGTGTGATGGATAATTTGTTTTAACTAAATTGTTTGTTTTTGAACATGTGAAATTTATTTTGTTAATTGATATCAATTGGCAGCCTTCCTTCTGAGAAGCAGTCTGCAGCTGCCAACATCCCTTTTGAGATCTTCAAGCAAGACAAGCGATACTCCAAGGAGATCCGTAAAGCGGCCATTCAACGAGTCTGCATCCCTCTCCTCAGGCAAGCCTCGCGTGATGCAACGGTGACCTTCTATAAAGGTCATATCCATGACATCATCTCCGTCCTGGAGGCTAGGCTCACCAAGGTAATCATCTTGAAAAGATAATCAGGAATCCTTTTCATAACATGTATTATGTTAGATACATAGAATAGTATGTAGCTTGAGTTGTTCCTGTATTCAATAATTCAGATATATATATATATAATATACATAAATTGTCAAATGTTAAGATACTGTACTTTAAAGGTACCAGACATGATTAGCATTTTATGCTACTTTCTGGTCCCTATTATTCATTCGAGATTATTGTCAAACATACATTTATCATTGTTATTATTGTTGTTATATTACTGTATTTGAACATTTGGATAATAAAACCTCAACTCAACTCAACTCTACTCAACACATCCAAAGTGTTTACCTGTAATAGCTTCAATATCAGTGGCTCAGACACCTTCCTCCCACGTGTACAGGCAGACTGAAGTTAGCTTCCAGTTATTTTATCTTTTTGGATTGCCAGCAGATGCTGTTTGGCCACTGCTGTGTTGTGAATGTCAGACATCTGGTATGCGCTTCCATCTTACAATTGAAACACTGGCAGCTAACTTGGATTGCCAGTATTCCTCTGAAAAGACAAAATCTGGTCTTTTAATAGAACTTTGATATGAACATAATGTAGTCCTATCATAATCGTAAAGACTTTTGAAAAATCAATGTGAAGCAATTTCATCAGGCTTTTCCATCGCCATTTGAAATGTGAAAACATCCCAGTGACATATTTTGTATTCTGAACATAATTTTGATGGGATAATCTAGTGAAATTGTCCTTTAGTTTATACCGTATTTGCCGGCGTAAAGGCCGCAGTATTTTTGGAAGAGAAAATATCAAAAAGTCAAGGTGCGGCCTTTACGCAGAAACAGAAAAAAAAGAAAAAAAAAGTCAAAACCAGCACAAATTTGTACATATGGGACTAGATCTATGAACGGTACAATAACTATTTCCACACATCTTACCTACAATTTTATCTTGCATTGTTGACATGAAGACGAAAATAAACTTCCAAAAACAACATCTGCGGATAGATTTTGATCTAAGTTCGTGCCAATGCATTGCAAAAGTAAAAGAAGGGCCCGTTTAACGGAGCCGCCGCGAAGCATCCAGCACGCGAAGTCGCCATTTTCAATCCATTTCAATGAGTACATCACAGAAAACAGCAGTGTATGTTATTGGCGCAGGATGGCCGCGTGGTTTAAGGAGATGATTTTAGTCACATCAACATTTGTACGCAAGAGATCGAATTCCAACTTTGGCCAAAAAAAAATTTTTTTTTTTTTTTTTTTTTAAATGTCAAAATCGGGGGTGCGGCCTTATCGCCGGCAAATAGGGTATCTCAAATTTCTTTGCGATAGTGTTCATTGTGCTTTAAAAAAATAAAAACTAGATATTGATGTGATTCACATCTTTCAGAACCCTGTGCCAGCCTTTGAGAACCAACTAGTGTCTAAGATCTGTTACTTCGAGCTGATTGAAGTACTTTATTCCAGGCTGAGTAAAGATGATCTCAACAGTAAGGACTCTGCTCTCAATCGAGAATATCGCCATGGTAACGTTGAGAAAGGCAATGAGATGTCAACTGCATTGACCAAGTGAGTGATAGCCCATGTTATCCTAATTAAGCCTGAGTCATTAGGGGGTTGCTTAACTACTAACTTTATACGGGTGATTTCGTTTAACTGTTATGAAAATACACATATTTGTACTGTATTGTACATGTATTTAAATTCTCAAGTATTTAGTCATTTCGATGAAGACATGTCATGTAGTTGTGTTCATTAAAAGAGGCTTAAAACAGTACTCTAAAAACATGTACACACACACACACACACTCAAAAACGATCTGGTATGATTTTAAAATAATGGGGAAAATGAACATCTCAGAACTCTAAACTTTTGCCAACAAATCTTGCGCTCGATGATCAGTACAGTCACAAATACCAAATACTAGATACACAGTACCACCTAGTAAACAAAGTACGTCCATGCATGCCATGCCACGATTAGCTAGCTTGCACCTCGTCGATCGACACAGCGCTATGAATGATTCACAGATTCATGTTGCGCCTTCGTACAATATGAATAGCTGACGTGAACTCCTGGGATCTCGTAACACGCTGCGAAATGCATGATGCATGAGGTAAGCAACCAGGTGGACATATGGCATAAGTCCTGTCTGAGGGACTTGCTAATGAAGATTAATGTCTTATCAAAGGACCACCAGGCTTTTCCTGATCACCTTTCTACCACTGAGGCTGAGCCTTCAATTCTTTCATTAAGAAGAAGAAGCTTACAGTTAATAAGTTGAACAATTGATTTTTGTGTATCCTTTGCCTAATAAATTACCTCTTAGCTTTTTGCCTACCGATACTTCAATATTTTTGTCTTTGTTTGACTTTGTAAGGGCTGCACTTGGAGCTCGCAATGAGGATTGCCGTGGGGAGACAGTTGCAGTGGAGCTGAGACGTCAGTTTCACTGCGCCGCCTTCAACTGCTCTGCTGCCATCATCAGTTGCGTTCAGGATAACATCAAGTTCTACAATGCTTTCCTCTTCAGTGAGAACCATGCAAAGGTAGGCAGTACCTCCTCCATACTGTGGGCATTAAACCCAGCCCAAGAATTTGAATTATATACAGAGTATTTGGTTCTTTGATTCACTGATTCTCAGTCCAAGGGTTGAGTGTTCATATCCCTGCCCAGCACTAACGTTCATTGGTGAGACATTAATCCACATTTGCCACTCTCCACCCAGGTGTGAATGGATATCTGGCAATTATTAGGGTAAAAATAATTTCAGATAAAACATAATGTGAGTGTAAGTGTAAACCAAGAAAGTGTCATCATTGTAGAGTCTCTTCTTTATATGCTCAGTTATACACTGCAGGTTCAGATGGATAAATGAGTTTATGTGCAGTAGAGACAACACAGCTATCAATTATTATAAATAAAGAATCACATTAGTTTGTTATAAGGAATTTTAGATGTCTTTTTTTTTTTTTTGGTATGCATGGACAATGTTGGTATAAGTAAATGAGAGGTGGGAAGAATTTCGCGGCTGTAAGTCGACCTTTGTAAAAAAAGTATTATTGATGTACAAATTTGGATCAATCTTTATTTTTATGTTCATTGTGTGATCAGGGCCAATTTCTGCTGGACAACCTGGTGGACCCCAAGAAGGAGTACGGCTTTGCCATCGAGATGGATGCACCTGTGGAACGCAAGAAGAGGTTTGTGGCCATCCGCACCCAAGCGAGGGAGACAAACACACCTGAGGAATCCGGATATGTTTCAGGTTTGTTGATGATTTCATGTGGTAGTAGAAGTAGAAATGGTAGATTGGAGCAGTCAATGATATGAAAGTACGAAGTTGTCAGGCATGTCGTGAATGATATACAGCGCATTACTATTTGTGTAGGGAATGAATGAATTGTCTATGACTTCTTTGTACTCCCACCAAAAAGGAAGAGTTCCCTGAAGTGAAAGGCACTAATAGTAATAAATAATAAATAATGTTTTCATTTATGGCACAGATATCTGAATTTTATTCTGATTACCCCAGTCAGAGTTTTGTTTTGTCAAGAACTAGTATATTTAGTAGATTAGCAGATTTAAGCAAGATGGTATGGCATAGCATGATCTTTACAGTATCCTCCCTTTCTGTAGTTGATGTTTTGTCTGCAAAGAAGGGATTAGTTCATATTACCTTCTTATGCCCTTGAGCGGTGCATTTTATGAACATTGCTTCTCTCCACCCAGGTGTTAAATGGGTGCCTGGTAGGATACAAACCTCAATTGGATTAGCATAATATGTGTGTGCTCATAGAAAGGCGATTAGCTGGAATGCTCCACAGGGAGTGGAAAATGTGCACTGTAAAGTGCAGATTCTGCAGAATAGTAATTTCATGCAGTGATCAGGGTAATAGAAATACTGTAAGTGCTTTGGTCGTTATATTACCGGTAAAGCTCTTTGTAAGAAACAGTTACATGTAGTATTATTACCATAAAGCTTATGACAGACAAGGAAATCCAGAAGAATACTTCAATGCCGGTACATGGTGTTTTACCTGAGATGATTTTGTGTTTGTGTTGAATTTGTTAGGCCCAGCCCACTACCTATCGTCTCAGTATCTATCTGACAGTAGCCTGAGTGAAGATGTAAATCAGTTTGACTTCTCCAGCAGTGTGAGACATTTTGGTAGCTCCATGGAGAGTCAGAGAGATGGGGGTAGCCAGGGAAGCCAGGGCAGCCAGCGACCAGGATCAATGGCTAGCAGACAGGTGAGAGATATCAGAAAGAATAAAAATGGTGATTCCTGAAAGATGTTGGTTAATGAACAAAAAAACTGAATAAATATGGCAGTAGAGATATGGCAGTAGGGATTTTGCAGTTATGTATTGGAGATTTTTAATAACACAACATTAGGCTATTGATAGATAATAATAATAGATCCGGATTAATACAAAATACCTTTTTTAAGCTCTTTACAGATTTTATTAAGGATGCCTTAGGCTTGATTACCGCATGAGATAGTTGAACGATACCAGAAAATATGATAGAAGGAACAGTGGATAAAAGAAAGAAGGAGAAGGAAATAGAGTGTAAAATGAATCAAAAGGACTTTGAATATGATTGCAAATACAGCAAAAGTAGTATGGAAAAGGGTTCATTGACAAATATATAAGATGAAGTAGTTATGATTCATTATATTTCCTTCATAAAAATTAGATATAAATTAATGTCTGCCACATGTTATCTGCATTTTTATAGGACTCTAAGCCAGTCTTCTCTCCCGGTGGCGAGTACTTGGAGATGGAGGAGGATGCGTTGAATCAGCATGAATGCATGGCAGCTATGACAGGCGTGCTCAAACACATGACAAACAACAAGATTAACCCTGACATTACCAAGGTAAGGTTCTCATGAGGGGAGGGGAGGGGGGGGGGGGGATCAGCATGAGTGTATGGCAGCTATGACAGGCGTGCTCAAACACATGACAAACAACAAGATTAACCCTGACATTACCAAGGTAAGGTTCTCATGAGGGGGGGGGGGGGGGGGGGGGAGGGGGGAATCAGCATAAATGCATGGCAGCTATGACAGGCGTGCTCAAACACATGACAAACAACAAGATTAACCCTGACATTACCAAGGTAAGGTTCTCATGAGGGGGGAGGGGGGAATCAGTATGAATGTATGGCAGCTATGACAGGCATGCTCAAACACATGACAAACAACAAGATTAACCCTGACATTACCAAGGTAAGGTTCTCATGAGGGGGGAGGGGGGGAATCAGTATGAATGTATGGCAGCTATGACAGGCATGCTCAAACACATGACAAACAACAAGATTAACCCTGACATTACCAAGGTAAGGTTCTCATGAGGGGGGAGGGGGGGGGGGGAATCAGCATGAATGTATGGCAGCTATGACAGGCGTGCTCAAACACATGACAAACAACAAGATTAACCCTGACATTACCAAGGTAAGGTTCTCATGAGGGGAAAGGGGGAGGGGGGGGGGTGAATCAGCATGAATGTATGGCAGCTATGACAGGTGTGCTCAAACACATGACAAACAACAAGATTAATCCTGACATTACCAAGGTAAGGTTCTCATGGGGGGGGGGGGGGGGGGGGGGGGGGGGGGGGGATTTATAGTAAATATGTACAAAAGTGAATAAGACCCGTTCTCACTCACTTCGTTGGAGCGCTCTGGAGCGCTCTAACTAAGACCCGCTCCTCAGGAGCGGTTCTTAGGTGAGTGAGAACGCTCAAAGTGGTCCAGGAAGCGGACTTCTGGACCGCTCCAGAAGTCCACCTTCCGAGGTGGTCTTGAGGAGCGGGTCTTATTAAGAGCGCTCCAGAGTGCTCTAACATGCAATGTGAACGGAAAGCGTACTTTGAACGGAAGTGAGCTAGTGACCTTCGGTGCGAAACATGTAGTACGGTACATATGGTTTGTATTCCGTGCGCGAAAAACTTGACCCGCCTACCTGAGCTGCCATAGCAACAAGACCACTTTGACTCGTGGAGCGGTTTGAGCCATAAAAACTGCTCGGAGTGTGAACGCTCGCAAACCGTTCCTCAAGACCCGTTCCTCTGGAGCAGTCTGGAGCGGTCTAACTAAGACCACTTTCAAAGTGAGTGAGAACGGGGTCTTAGACTGATCACTCCTCTTTTTGCATGAAATCATAGTTTGCATTGTTTTGGCTTACCGGTATGAAATATTTAAATATGAAATTCAATATTTTGTTAATTTGAAGGAAGGTTTATAGGTTAATTAATTAATATATTATATATCATTAATTTGTAGATTTTCGTTGTTGAAATGTCTGTCTAGAAATGTCATACCATAGCGCTTGGAATTGACCTTATGACAATTCTGCATCCTGTACAGTAAAGTGATTGTTTAGGTGTTTTTTTCAATCTCCTAGGCAACCAAAGCAGAAGAGATGCCTCAATGGATGTCTGGTCTTCAGAAGAAGCTCTCATCACAATCCACGGAACACAACATCAAACTCTTCATCGTCCGACTGGTCATCAATGCACAAGATGTAAGAAGCAAACCAGGGTTTTTTTTCACAAAACTTTTTTTCAATGACAAATGACAAAAATCAGAGACAAATCTGCTGATAACCAATCAGAAGCAAGGATTTCAGTAGCTTATAACAAAAACTGTCATTTGTCACTGATGACGAGTTTTGTTGAAACGAATGTTTTTTTAATTACCAAAGATTATCACTCTATGTTGAGTTAAGCCAAAAAAGTATGCAGTATTTAACTTTAGTGAATTTATAGACAACAGCTATTTTCAAAGCAATAAACTGTTATGAATCACACACAAAAAAAAAATCAGTGCCTTGTCGGTTGTGATTGAATTAAGTTGCAGCATGAAATTTTACAAGTCTAAACCACATGCAAGTTTTTGTCAATATTCTGGTGTTACAGTACTATTTGATGTATCATTTGTTGAGAGCCAGTAGGATGTTTACTCTGTTTAAGGATTTGAAACGATGCCTTTCTGCATCTTGGCAGATGAATGTACGTTCTAATGCCAAACAGGATTCACAGACATCTGCTCTACTGCCTTGCCATATAAGAGATTTTTGCACATTAATTCCACTCATTTGCTCTGTACTTTAAAAAAAGTCAGAATTTTTATTTTCCCTCTTGAAAATTTTCAATCATACATGCATCCTAGATAAATAATTCTTCACTTTCATTTCGATGACAATTAAGGTATGACTACCTCAGGTTCTGCACATCATGCATGTGAATGACTTTTGTTTGTTCACCATCTTCTCCTGTCTCCTATTCCTTCGTTTGAAAGGTGTTCCAGCCGTACGCCAGGTTTTGGCTGTCTCCATTGATGCAGTTCTTGGCCGGAGGTCAGCAAGGTGGGATCAACTACATGGTACTGGACATCATGCTGGTCATGTTAGACTGGTCCACTCTAGCTGTTCCAGAGGTAAAGCTCTCTTAAAGTGACTTGGTAACATTGTTGAAGGTTGATGAAAAAATTGCTTAATTTTTGTATAAAATGTTACTTACTATATTCCTTCTACTGTACTAACCCTCTGACATGCAAAAAATTCTCAAACCACAAAGATATTTATGGTTTTCTTTGAAGGAGTCGATGTATGACATCCTCTAACAGTGATTAACAGTAAATTCTCCCAACCATTTTTGAATTTCCCAACCGTTTTTCCATGAAAAAAAGACTTAAAAAAAGGCTATAAAAAATCTGTCAACACTCAAATGTCTGGAATGGAATGTAGAGCCATTTTATTGCTATGTGACGATTTCCATTCACCTAAAATGTAATTATTAAATTGTAATAATATAGTTGGGAGAATTAAGAAATTGATCAGATCAGTTGTTCCCGATTTGTACCATGAATAATGGTCTGTTTTCACTCAAATTTTCAGATTATCTTTAATTGTACATCTAGCATTGAAGTCACTACCTTAGCACCACTATCTCTCATCTGAACAATGTTACCAAGTCCCTTTAATTCTTTTCTTCCTTTCTTTCCAAAGCTCTTTGGATTCACATGTTACGTCATAATGTGATACCTGATATTACAAGAACAGAAGATTGTTATCAGTAATCATCCCTGTTGAATGAAATACCACATACTGATATTAATAAAAGCCACAGTTACAACTATGCTTGCATATCCACCTCAGGGGACGCTCAGGGGATGCTCAAGGCACCTAGAAAGTACTATTATTACCCATACTTTAGCCCAGTGGCCGTAAGGCCTTGAAATCAGTCAAGGAACATCTTTCTACCTGGTAGAGAGAGTGGAAAATATAGATTAATGTTTAGGCAAAGGACATTGGTGCCGTGGCAGGACTTGAAACCCAAAGCATGTGATTAACAGTCCAGTGACATATCCACTAGACCACAACACCTAAGAATAATGAAAATAGTGGAGTCTTGTATAGTGCTCATGTCTGGCACATTGCCACTCCTAGCGCTCTATTATTATTATTATCCTGGCTTTAGCAAGGGCTGCCACTACAGTGCTGAAGCATTTTAAAATTTCCTGCAGGGTCACCATGTACCTCACCTGGGTGGAGTGTGGAAAATAGAGAATAATGTTTTTCCAAATGAAATTTTTGATTTGATTTGATTTGATTTTCTTCTGCATTCATGTAAACATACATTTTTTCAATAACAATAATAATATAAAGTACAATAAATATCCTTCTGACAATGAATCATAAATAAGTACTGCGACACCTCCACATTGTCAATAGTCCAAGCGATGATGAAAATGATGAGTTTACACAAAACTTTGTGCTTCCCCTCTCCAGGACAATCGTTTAGCGAGTGGAGTGTTGAGGTTCCTGATGGAGAACAGCTTCCATGAGAGGAAATCAGTGATGAAGAACAACCTGGAAGTTATCAAGACATTGGTAGAATGCTGGAAAGCGGTCATTGATGTACCTACCAGGTGAGTCCTATGTGAAGGCTAAGTGTTCTTTAATGGGAATTTGACACTGTTTGGGTATTCATCCAGTGATAGATTTTGTCAGTCACCGGGAGGGGCTGTCACTTTTGCAACATACAGGTCTTTTATTCACGGCTAACAAAAATAACAAACAACCAAATTTGCGTTTATGTCGTGGCTTTATTAACATTTTGAGATGGACGCTTATTTTGCACATTTTGATTTTCTGGGTGTCATAACAAAATAACACAGATATATTGAATCATAAAAAATGCTTACAAATGAGTGATGCCTAGGCTAAACTTATATACATTAAGTCATTATATCAGCCCCCCGCCTATAAAATCGAGTGATGCCTAAAGTTATAGAATATAGATGTATATATATACCAGCCTCTCCGCCTGTAAGATCGGATGATGCCTAAGATTAAAGCGTGACACCCTGAGTTTGAAAATGTGTAGGTGCAACTAGGTCCCCCCGCATTCAAATCGAATGGGGGCCGGAAAACTAAGAATTGACATGCGAACAAATTCGACTGAATATACATTGGCAACCCCCTCGCATGTAAAAATTGAGTGGGGTCGAAAATTATCGGATGACAATTATTGATCAATAAACTTATCAGTACCATGTGATTAGTGATTTGGAGGCATAATTTGACAAATTACCGCCAAACGAGAATATATTTATATATGATCGGCCGCCAAATCACAACGTTGTCATCAAACGATTTTTGTGCACTAAGGGAATATCTATGTTTAACTATTTACACTTTGGTGGAATTAACATTTCAATCGGCCAAATTAACCAATGTACATGTACAGGCATGTACTTTTTCGCCCTTAAGCTAATTTATAACCCTATAACAGACTACAGAGTATCGTAATAAACTTATCTCTACAACACCGGCACATCATTATGCCTAATCCATTCCCCTCAAAGAAGTGACTAAACCGTTAATGCCCATTTCGAAATGAAGCATTCGCAAAACTGGTCATTTACCAATGTCCACCTAAACCTGCCCCATATAACTATTATTTACTCTCCACAACTTTGTTACTCCCAAAATAAGGCACTCTTATCCCAACAACAAAAACATGATCTTGCGGTGCCGGACTCAAACTTTTTTGCGGGATTTACTTTGCTACCCGAACAGACTTAAACATTGAAATATAAGAACGCTGAAATATAAGAACACTGAACTATAAGAGCATTGAAATATAAGAACAAACAACGTGTTTTGTAACATTATCATTGTTTAACTACTTGGATGAACCGAGATAGGACAGGCCCTCCTTCAGGTCAGTGATAAACCTGTCCAAACCCTCATTATAGAGATGCAATCCGTCCGGCCTATATAAAGCCCTATCCTTATGCCTTATGTCGGGGTGTGGAATGGCCTTTCCCCCATTCCTGCCGACCAAGGCGCGAGCGTATCGGTTCGTGGCCCTCCTTCTATCGTCTAATTTTCCCTGCTCTTCCGGCCTACAACCCGTTCTAGGATATCAGACCATATTATTGTCATCTCAGTGTTCGATGTGATTAATCTGTTCACCGCATTCGCCATCGCCCTCTTCGAACATCCCTCCATTCGTGCCCACGTGTAACACTAAAACGGTCGGCTTCGTCAGGCCACTGGTAATCGACTCTAGCCATGCGTTTGTTTGGTCCAAGCGAAGGCCCCGCTTTCCAGCCCAATGGATGACCGTCCCCAAACCCATATCGGTGCAGCCAGTCCGCTCCGCCCTGCGATGGGCCCAGAAAACGATAGAGTCGCCTACCATCCATATTTGTTCGCCCTGATCGTCGGCGCCGCTGGGGCCCACTCCGACAGGCGTTGACGTTGCCTTCGCCCTTGCCCTCGGACTTTTCCTCGCCTGACTTGGGGGTAACGCTGCATCCGCTCTCGGATTCTCCGCCTGACTTGGAGGTAACGTTGCCCTGGGCGCCGTCTCACCACCCCTCTTCCTCCCGGCCACGGATTTCTTCTTCGCTTTTGGCATGATCGCCAACGTACTCCTGCCAGTAGAGATGCGAACAAGGCCACTAACACTAACAGTTCAAGTTGATAATGAAATGGACTCTCCTTTCTAATCAGGCCCAACGAAAAGGCCAGCCCAAAACCCGAGTATAATCCCGCTGGTCGCTCACGAGAAGAAATAATTCAGCGTTAGATATCCCACTAATTATTCCAGTGCAGTGCTAACGTTAGTATTAATCCAAATCCTCTAATAATGTTTTAGACTCCGTAAATTTTTCTTCTTGTCCATTCAAAATGAAAGCCATAACTAGAATGAAAGCACCTTCGTGCTATTTTTAATTTGCTGGCGGTATTTTCCGCGCTTGCTTGATAAGCGTACATACGCTTGTACATTTCCTTCCAATGTAATACAAAGTATTACATTTCCTAGCGCGTGAATTTCCCTCAAAAATGTAAACAACCTCTTGACCTACATTTTGTCAGCCTGTCAATAAACCATTTTAAATCGTTGTCTACTCTTTAAATTTTAATATAATGCACTGACCCTTCAAACATCCCCCTCCCCTATAAGGAAGCTCCTAGATGTAAATTTCTCTCACCCAAAGATTCTCCAACTGGGGGGTGGGGGGGGGGATTTCTTTGTAGGATGTCCAATTCGCTATATGCGAGACTTTTACACCCATTAATGTTGTTTCCATCAAGTCCGATGTCAGGAATTGATAACATACTGCACAAAGAAATTGCCAACTGTATGTCTTTTAATAACTCTCTCTGTGCAGTGGGTGGCAAATCTGGACTGAGAAGGTCTACATTTTCCAGAAAGAGGAATTGTTAAATCTATCATCAAGTTTACATCCATAGAAGACATTTTGTTCCCCATTTGGCAATGACAAAAAGCATTTCAAGTAAAAATTTCACTCTTGAAAGTTCATTTATGACAACGTCCCAAAACATGGTTGCCCAGAAGGGGTTTAATTCCAGTATAGAATGATTAGAATTGCTTTGCAAGTTACTGTTCATACTTGCATTGGACTATGTATTGAAGTTTGATTTTCTGATATCCTTCACCGGTGGACTACTGAATTCTCTAATTGCCATAGGCTTAATACAGAGACCATCAGCCTCCTGTGGGCAAAGGGTTATGTTGCTATACACACCAGATAACAACTTGCTGCAATTGTATGGTTTTGTTCTCATGTGAATGGCTACTGTTGATTAATCATTGCTATTGCATTTTGTTAAATCTTGCCATGATAGATGTACCAATACTTCATAATTAGATCAGCACAACAATAATTTAAATTTATGTAGCCTTACTTGTTGGTGTTTCCATTTCTCTCTCTCTCTCTTTAACTTTTTTTAGGGGGAGGTGAAGGATTAGTACAATGTCTCACTGCAAGCAAGGCTCAAAAGGAATTGAATGGAAAAACAGAATGGCAAAGAATATTTCTCAAAGGAACGTTATTTTCTTCAACAAAAGACAAATCTTCACCATCCTCTCAGGAACTGTTTATATCTATGAAACAGACATGCACATGTGATTGGTGAAGACTTATAATTCCATTATATGTTATACTTTTTCAGAGTGATCTATGAGAGCCTCCAAGACCGATCACCTGACAAGAAAGACAGCGCTGTTGGTATTCATCTTCTTGGGGTGGTCCTAGCCAATAATCTTCATCCTCTGAGTCGCACATGTGATGTGGATGCAGACAGGTAGGTATTTCACTCATGACCTTGAGGAGGCGAGTTGGCTCATTTAGGAAAGGGTCTGCCTGGTGTGGGTAATAATATATATATATATATATCTGTAAAGAAAGCGCTTAGGCACATCGTTGTGTTATTATTATTCAAATCCAATCCAGATGGATGACTGAAATCTGCGTTGTGTGGTAACGTGCCCCTCCCCTGTTTCATAGACGCAGGCTTGGTTACAGTGAAAAAGGACTGTCCCTAGGAAGGAAATTAGTGGGGGGGGGCCGTGTAGAGAGACCCCACTTTTGCATGTTAAGAAATCACTGCACTATTTTTATAAGATTAGGGGAAAACCCCGCTTTAGTGGTCCACCTGTATTCCCCCATTCAGTTATACCGGTAGGAGAGCCCCAGTGGATCACAGTGATTCATTTAACTCTTCCCCTCCCAGGCACAGGTGTTGTCAAATACTTCATGATACTAATACCCAACTTGAATCCTTATCAGATTCTTCTTGATTAACCAAAAATCTGAGGAAAGGAACGCTAGAATAAAAGATTTATTAGAGCTACAGGTTTATGGCACATTTGTTAAATGTGTTTAAAGAAATCACATATTATGTTAATTCTTACACCCAAGTAGGTCTGTAGAAAAATGTTCATCCTTTTTCGTATTAAAAAAATTGCCTTTATGGAGGAAGTTATCTTGAAGGGTTTATCCTTGCATAGTTTAACTTTATTTTAACTTTTTTTTCTTCAAAGGGTTTCCTCACAAAGAATTTTGCAGACAACTTTATTTCCGAACATCTGTATGGTGTTTTCACATGATATCTTCCTGCTTATTACTTTATCTTTATCTAGATTTTACTCAGCACTTGCATCCAACATTGACAATAGATACAAGGCGGTTCATGGGGCGGCTGCTGAGGTCATCGGCATGGCAATGAAACAGATGGCTGAGGTTGATAAGGTCAGCTCAAAGAGATACAATGTGTGAATGAGTTATTGTTTGAATATATTTACTTTCACTTTCACAAATTATCAACAACACTTTTGATGTGAAGACATGATAGATAAGGAAAGTTCAAGAGGTATCATGAATTAGATGTAAGATATAAACAAAAAATAGATTTGCTTCTCTTTCTCTTATTTTCAGGTATTTTCTGGTTATTAATGACAGAATACACTATTTTTGAAGGAAAGCATTTCAGAAGGATTCATAAAGATTCAAATAAAAACATATGTTGCAGGTAGTTATTTCAAATAATAAATCACTGGTGTATAGATTATGATATAGAACAAGAGGACTTGTTTAATTGCAAGATGCTCATGTTCTTTAGATCCCTGACAGTCATCTACATGAAGTAACCTACAAGGAGCTGAGTCAACTCCATTTAGGCTCTGGGAAAGAGGTCATCTTTATCACTTGCCTTCATAAGATCCATCTCCATTATCCAGTCTTCACCGATAGGTTCGTCCAGAACATCGTCTTCTTCTTTCGAAACTTCAGCAATCAGAATATTATTTCAACAGCACCTTTCTGATTTAAAACGAGAGACACATTGTACTTGTTTTCACTTCCAAATTGATCAATTATGATCTTTCAATATCACTTACTGCAATTGTGTAAACCAATCTTGTTATAAATATATATATATTCCACAAATGAGCAGGACACAAATACTTTCATGCATTGTGGTATTTTGCATAAGTATACAAATGTTTTAAGGGTTGTCATTGAGCTAATCAATATTAAAACAGGTAATTTTGCAAAGGCTTTGTGTCGCACAAAGCAATCCTGTTGATTGATGCCTCTTGTTTTGTGTTGATTGCCTTGTGTGGCAAACAAGCAACTGTGAATTTTACACTTGTGGCAAGTGAAAGGTCAATCATATTCATCATAATGTAAATTGTTGTTTCCGTGTTGCAGATTCATGAACAAGTTGTTGTTCATGTTGCCTTCCATCCATGGTCAACCAAAGACTGAATGTCTGCAGATCATCACAGCCAGGATAGAACATATCGACAATGCTTTCATCGAGATGAAGAACAAGAACATCCTGGCACTACTCACACACAAGTAAGAATCGATAGCTGAGTTTAACAACAATAAATCTAAATTTACGTAGCACAGCTACTGTAAATGCATGTATATTCTGCTGTGATTGACAAAGTATCTTATTTTGATCCCAGGCATTCAAAAAAAAAATTCTTTCTACTGGCTACAAATTTTACCTGGGTGGAGTGTGACAATTATACAGTAAATGTCTTGCCAGAGGACATGTACTTCGGATAGATGCACTTTTGCCTTGTGTAACCACAAATGAGTTACACTACAATATCTGCACAATTAGGGGTAAGCTCAATCAAATCTAAGATATATTGAACGAAGTAGAGCTAACTTGTGAACTGTGTTTGTGAAAGAGTCTGGGGTGAAACTTGTCTTTTATGACACTATTGTTCAGTGTGGTGCCTGGCTGGGATTTGAACCCTGAACCCGTGCACTCAGATTCAAGTGAACGGACCACACTACCATGGCACCTCTATATAACTTCAATATCTTAGCAACAGTTTGAAATTCATTTCTGTGTATCTTAACGGATCCTAATAGATCGGATTGTGGCAGATAAGCCTTGTGCTAAACAAGTTATCCAGTCAAGCCTATTGCTGCAATCGGTGATTATTTTCAACAACCAGTTTTTTTTTCTTTCTTCTGAATGCATATTAATATGCAATTATATTTTGTTATTATTACCCTTCTCTCTCTCTCTCTCTCTCAGAGATGAGGCTGATCAGCTGACGAGTCTCAAGTTGGTAGATGGAATGCTTCCGAAACTCAAACCGTCTGAGCTTCGCTACCTCCTCCCTGCTGTCAAGGACTTTGTTTCTCATCCCAGCCCTAGCTGCAGAGATACAATGTATTCCATTCTCATGTGGATCTACGATAACTACAGGTATCATATCATTCTTACTGTCTGACCAGAAACTTTCTGTAATCGCAAAATATCTGTTAATTCTATAATTTCTGTTATTTTACAGCAAGGAACTTTTGTGTAACTAAATTATCTATATTAAACATCCTCTATTGGTTTTTGTTTGTTTTGCTTATTCAGTTTGATCTGTTGTGCAAACTTGGGTCATGTTGCATTGTGTATTGAGGTCTTTTCAAAGTCAAACTGTATGAAAGGCTCTTATTCGTTACAGTGTGTTCATTCAACTATAGGGGGAAGGGGGTAACTGATCTCAAATGTCAATTTGATTCTGACGCAGAATTGTGCATTAATCAACAACAGTATTACCTGCATTTTATGTGTCATGCAATGTTGAAATAAAACATAATACTTTTGATTCACTATAAACTTGTAATCTTCTTTCTCTGATTGTTTTATAGGGATGAGGATAAAAGAGAGGGTCAGGATGGTGATGAGGCTCTATCTATCGCCAAGGATACCCTCCTTCAAGGTCTCTCTGATCAGGATAACTATCTCAGGTAATCAGCATATCTTCCCTCTCTAAATTTGTCTTCTTTAAAGCCCCACTGTACTACTTGCAGCTACTTGCTACCTCTATATAGAAAACATGCCTAATCGGTGACCATTGGTCCCCCATGATCCTCTTTTTCTTATGTTAATTGAGAGCTGAGTTGATAAGATAACCACCTGTCCAGTGACCTAACAGAGTGGTCTAATTACTCTTATAAACTAGTACAGATAAGCTTTAAAAGTGACTGAAAACTGGCTAATTTTGCAGCCTCATTTTTGGTAAATAATTATTGTAGTCCTCTCATTTTGCGGCCTAAAACTTCATGATTCTGGACCACTTTTAAACTTTGCAAAAGTTTCTTTTACATGTTAACATGTTGACCACTGAATTCTTTAATTCAAATATGCTTAATACAGAGACGATCGGATTCCAGTTGGCAGTTGGTTAAATGTCTGATAGTATTCATCTTAATTGAGTTTGTATGTGATAAATTGTGCATATTGACTCCTTGCTATATTTTGATGTGTGTATTTCTATGAAAACTTGAGCTTCATTGTGTCATGTATTTCTTATGTTTCAAAGTGTTGTTTTTTTTGCATTTTTAAGTGTTTCTTTCATTATGTTTTGCCTTCAATTGATCTGGTCACTTATCATTTGTTGAAAGCCAAAATTGTGTCAACATACGCATTTACTATTAAAGGCATTGTGTAACAATGATAAATCTGAGACGCATGGCTTTACGAGTTATCAGTGTCTGTGATATGGTGTAATATTGAAGTCATAAAAAATTGCTCTTCAAAATGATCATGAAGTGCTTCAAAAAAGTAAAAATCTTTCAGTGACTGGTTTTACAATACTCAATTTACTTTAATTTAGACTGTAGTGTGATGAAAACCGTTAGGAAAACAAAAAATGAAATTTCGATTTCCAATCATAAATATCTTGATAATCAGACAGGCCATCAGCTTGTAAAAGTCATGGGATTCCTGACTGACCGTAAGGTTTATAATTATGATTGCAGCATCAGCTAAATGCAGGATTTTGTTTCAGAATCTGAGGCAATGTTACCAAGTCACTTTAAAGCCCTTTTGCTTCTTATCAGACAATATTTGTTTCTCAGTATAAACCCTTAATCTTTCCTTTCTCCCTCTCTTCCGACTTTCTCTCTTTCTTCACCCGACACATTTTGTTTGTTTATTGTAGGTTGCGAGTGAGTAATTTCTGGAGTCATGAGACTCGTCTACCCAAGGAGACTCTTGAGCGTCTCATCTCCATGCTAGGATGTATGTACTCCCCCGGTACAGAGAATCGTTACCTTGGTTACGCCACCAACCTGCTGCTAGAGATGACCTCCAAGAGCCCTGACTTCAAGAGAGAAATCTTTGAACATCCGTTATCAGCTTGCAAATTTGAGGTATGGAACAATCTCTTTGGTTCTTTATCCTTTTTTTCATTTGTACCTAGTCATGAAACTTTTGGATTATGTACAAATACATGATACATTTCAGACATTTAAGTGTTTTAGACGTTTTCATATTAAATTCAGGCATAGGAATTTGGTAATCGTCCATTGATGCTATTGTTTCTCATACTATAACCTTGTATAACTATTTCTAGTAATAGAAATGATGACTATCAAAGGCATTTTTTCCATCTGTTTTTCATCTATGGTGGTTTTTATTGTAGTCTAGGAAGTTATGAAGTTCACATTAAGATTAGTGCTGTAACATCACGGATATCTCCAATTCCGTTTAACCGCCAGTCAAAACCGGACGGTTTTCGGTTAAACGATTTAAAAAATTAAAAAATAAAAATTATTAAAAAAAATTTTTTTAAAAATCGTTTTTTAATATTTTTTTTTTACCGACTCTGTCGGCAACTTTCATTTAACTGCGAGGTGCATTTAAAGGGGCCGATTTGTGCTTGTGAACTTGTCACAAATAATAGTAACAATGTTGTTTTTAGAAGAATGTGTAAGATCATTAATGTAAATTAAAAACAGTAGAGGACCTAGGACAGAACCTTGTGTAAAAGTTGGATGAATTATTATTATAAACTACATATTGAGATGATGAGATCTATTACAAAGATTACTTTCAAACCAAGATGACAGACAAATTGGAGTGTTGTTCTAGTTTTGGAGTGGTGAGTCAACACACAAATTACTGAGCTGGGAGACATTGCCAGGCATAGTGCCAGGTGGAGGGGCATAAATCGAAACTTTAAAAAAAAAAAAAAAAAAAAAAAAAAATCGGGAAAACGAAACCGTCCAATTGAAAACGGAATCCGCCATGGGCGGTCGGATACCGGACGGTTAAACGTTTGACTACAGCACTAATTAAGATGCATACACTGATGGGTACAATAATTGTTTACTTGGATAAAAATAGTTTGATTGTGATTTTATCATTATATATAATCTAAAACGAAACTCATAGCAGAGCATTTACTGCACACCAAATACCTGTCAAAGTACTTAAATTTAAAAATCTGATAGCATTTATAATAATAATAATAATATTCCGCTTATATAGCGCTTTATGTCTCTAAGCGCTTTACTGATATACTATTACCCCAGTCATTGGATTCAGTGCTTGCCTGCACACACTGTGTGCTCAATCTCCACTCCCTGGGGAGCATTCCAGCCAGGCGTTACTTGACGCTCAAAAACTGGTTGACCAACAATGTCGGTCGCATCCTACCGGGTACCCATTTAAAAACTGGGTGGAGAGTAGCAAGTGCAGGTTAATATCTTGCTAAAGGATATAAGTGGCGTGTCGGGATTCGAACCCTCTACCTTCGCATATCCAGTCAAGCGCCTTTAACCACTCGGCCACGACACTCCCACCATTTATGGAATTGATGCTAGCTAAATTTATTGTTGTATCTTCAACCTGCAGGAAGTGCAGATCGACCACTCCTGGCGTCAGCGTCACGCAGCGATATCCACCCCCAAGTTTGTAGAGACCCAGGTGGGTCAGTCCCAGGGGAGTATTAGGGGATCCCCCTCATCACAGAGTATGACATCATCAGGAATGAGCATGGGTGGAGGAGGACAGCTGAGGGCCACACAGGTTACTCAAAACTTCACTGCCACTCAAGATAATGGTGAGTGATGGTCATCATAGGGGATGAGGTGATGACGGGATGTTGATGGTAGGGGTAGCGATTAATAATGATACAATAGCTTTTATGATGATGATGATGATGGTGATGAGGACGCTAATGAGGTAATGATGGTATTCGTGATGATGATGATTGGTTTGATGACGATGATGATAATGATTATTGGTAATGATGTTTACGTTTGAGATGATGATGGCGCCGATAATGAAGGAGGTGATGATTGATAATGATGTTTTTGACAAAGATGATGATGATAACAATGATGACAATGGTATTTGCGATGATTTGATGATGATCATAAGGGTGAAAGCAATGATGATTTTGATGAGTATTGATAATGATGTTTGTGATTTGATGGTGATGATGACAATGTTGGTGGTGATGGTGAGATAATGATGATGAAGATGGTGATGATGATGTTAATTGTGATGATAATGATGAAAGCAATGAGGCCTAAAAAAAAGATGTTATATTGCCCTTTAAGTGCCAAAACATGGATCGGTGGAAAATATTTTTTTTTAATTAAAAAAACTTTTTCAAAAAGCCGACCATAGATGTCAAGATTTTTGGGTCGGTCGCAAAGAGCAATACAAAAACTTTTTTTTAAATGCCTGATGATGATCAATTAAGATGTTTGTGATTTGATGGTGATGATGACGACGAAGGTGGTAATGGAGACGATGATGATTGATAATGATGTTTGTGATTCGATGATGAGGATGAAATTAATAATGATCCATGGACTCCCATCTTGATGTTCAGGGCCAAGTTTACAAACCGAAACACCTCACGCCTAGAACAACAGACGATGCTAATGTCAACATTTCTATTCCTTAATTCAATATCTTTATTATCCCTATTTTGTCTAATAAAGCTGCTTCCAGTCACAAGAATGGCTACAACTGGTTGACAGGTAGCCAGGACACGTTTGCTGATTATTCATCATCTTCCTCAGCGAGTGAATCCTCTTTGCTCTTTACTATGGGGTCTCTACCGAAGAGAACTGCCCAGGGCTCCAGGGGCACCAAGCAGGAGGCTGGAGCAGGTGGAAGCAGAGACAAAGAGGCCAGGAAAGGTTAGCCAAATCTGTTTCAATCATTTGCATTGACTTTGTAAAAAACTTAGCTTATGAAGGTCAGAAAGGTGGCTTGAATTTGTCTTTGTACTTGGAGAAATATCAATATTCCCCAAACCTTGTGACTGTTAGGTTTCCAACCTCATTCTGTAAATGTTTGCATGAATCTTGAAAAGAATATAATATGTAGATGACCACTCAGCCATAAAATGTTAAAATCTGGAAAATGAAAGTAAGCGTGCATGCCGGTGTATAAGCAAAGATAGGAAAAGTCTGAAATTCCCCTTTAACCCATGGGATACACATTGATTTGGTACAGTCAAACCTGCTTTAGTGACCACCTGTCTATAAAGACCACATTTTATTGTTTCCCTTCAAAATGGTTTCTTATTGAAACATGTACTAAATGAACCTGTCTACAAAGACCACTTTTTGTGTTTCTCTTGGGTGGTCGCTATAGACAGGTTTGACTGTGTAACATACATTTTCCATGTACTCTAGTCCAAGATATCTTGGGATCATTGTTCAAAGGTCCAAACTGTTAGTGTGTGTGTGTAGGTGATACCGTCAAACTTTCTGGAATGTGCTTCGTTTTGGAGGAACCTGTTAGTAAAGACCACCTGCTCATAGAGACCACTTTTTCTAGTCTCCCTTGAGCGGTCTATATATACATGTTTTTGCTGTATTTAATTAAGATGATATGATGGCTGCTTCTTTGCATCCATGAATCAATAGGATCAAGTGCATTGTTATAGTTTGAATGAGATCGTTTCTATATTATAATCCTCTTTGCAACGGTTCTTCCATCTGGAAATAATGACTTGTGTTTTCTGTATTGTATTTTTCACCAGCACCCTCAGAAGGGGAGAAGGAAGTTCAGCGACTCAAGAGACGTTTCATGAAGGACCAATCCTCTCAGAGTGCATTCTTTGCTAAACGGGCTACAAGGCAAAAACAACTCAGAGAGGTACATGTAGAACTTCTTCTTTTCTCTTTGTATTTTTTTTAAAATTCTTTGTAGATTCATATTTCATACTTAATTTTCAAAATCATATTTTCACTTCTCTCAATTCCTATATCTCAACTTTTTTTTTATTATTACAATACACCAAACTTGAAATTGTGAAAGTCCTTAAAGAGTGATTAATGATGTTTAAGGTATGAACATGTTTATTAATGATTTATGAGTTGGTACATGTAAATGTTCTTTGTCAAGCCTCCACATGATTCATGCTTTTATAGAAGGGAATTTCTCTGACATTTTTGATATTCATTGATTTTTTATTAGGTTGACTGTTAATTAAAAAACAAAAACAAATTAGTAATTTGACAAAAACAAACCATTTGTCAATCAGATATTCATTTTTTGTGACTTTAAAATTTGTTTATCATGAACTTTCTTTCCAGGAGGTGCAGAAGAGCCAGAGAGAGCGTAGGTTTGCGCAGGTGACGATGTACCGTCAGTACAGGACAGGGGACCTTCCAGACATCCAAATTAAACACTCTGACATCATAGCACCACTACAGGCTTTAGCACTGGTGAGGATTTAGTGTTTGGTTTAAAGTGTTTAATGCTTGTTGGGGGATTTAAAGAACGTATGCATTAAAACACTTCTTGTAGCATATTCGATTAGCAGGGCACTGTAAGATAGTGGTGGATCGCTATTTTACAGTAAAGCCTTTGATACTCTTGATCATAATATTATACTTGCAAAATTGTTCAATTACGGAATACATGGTGTGTTATTAAATTGGTTTAAGAGTTATTTATCAAACAGAAAACAATTTGTCAAAATTAAAGGTAATACTTCGTCTATGCAAACAGTTGTATGTGGAGTGCCACAAGGCTCTATTTTAGGCCCGCTTTTATTTATTCTTTCTATTAATGACATGTGTAATATATCGGACAAATTAAAATATATCTTATTTGCAGACGACACCAGTGTGTTTATGTCCCATAAAAATATTCAAAGTTTACAACAGGACTTTGGTAATGAAATAAACAAGCTATTACATTGGCTTTCTTTGAATAAATTACTTTTGAATGTTAATAAAACTAACTACATGGTTTTTACAAAACAAAAAATAGATTTTAATGAGGTTGATCTTCAGGTGAATAATCATGAATTCCAACGTGTATCTGTAAACAAATTCCTCGGAATAGAAATTGATTCTAAACTTACATGGAATGAACACACTGGTGCTGTCTGCAACAAGATCTCAAAAAATACTGGCATTCTAAACAAACTTAGATTTCTACCAAAATGTGTTTTAAGAATGTTATATAATACTTTAATTCTTCCTCATTTATATTACTGTTCTGAAGTATGGGGCATGACAAGCCAAACCAATCTCAATAGGATACTCAAAATGCAAAAGAAAGCCATCCGGATAATTTCAAATTCACACTACAGAGCTCATTCGAAACCTATATTTTATAAATTAAAGCTTCTCAATGTATTTGATATCTGTGAATATCACATTGCAGTCTTTATGTACTTGTGTCGAAATGAATCTTTACCATGTGCACTTCTAAAGTATTTTAATTTGAAATCGACTTTTCATGATTATGAAACTAGAAATGCAACTAATTTCCACTTACCTCAAATTAAAACAACTTTAATGAAAAAGTCAATATTTTTTGATGGTCCAAAAATTTGGAATTCCATTCCAATAAATATAAGAAATTGTAAAAGTCTTCAAGCTTTTAAACGAAAATATAAAATGTATTTAATTGATTCCTACGTGCTATAACTCACCAGGCTCTTTACCCCCCCCCCCCCCTTGTTTTCCCTCTTTTTGTCATGCTTCCAATCCTACAACATTTAATTTGCCTTTTATTTATATTATACTGAGGGATGGGCTCTAGCATAAGGACCATACTCCTTTTTAGCTCATCCCTTCACTCCCATTATGTTACATGTATGTTATTTTGTTGTTATTGAATGTATGATATTTTATGTGTGATTATTCCGTATTTAATTGTATATGTTCTTGTATTTTTAATGATGAGTGTAAATAAAGGAACTTGAATTCTAAAGTAAGATCAATTTGCTTTGTCTTACAGAGCCTAGTTATATGAATAATTGACTTTTTAAAATATAGGAGTAGGAGCTTCACAGCAGTCAACATTGTTTGATATTTACAGATGAAATGTTTGGAGGAATACTCCAGGCATGAGCACTAATGAGTGCTTGGGAATTTAGTAGAATTAAAAAATATTTTGTTTTTAATTTGGCCATGAAGGAAACCTCTTAATTGTGCAATGTATATCATGAGCTTTACAAAATGAAAGAATTGAACTGTTAGAAATTTTATTGGTGATAACGTAAAGACAAATTTATTTTCATTATTTTGCAAAACTGCTATTAATTTTCAAACAAATTAAATCCTATTTGTCAGAGAGATTCCACGCTGTCTCGACTGCTGTTCTGCGCCCTCTTTAGGGGTATCTTGGCCAGGATAGGAGACATGTGCACAGATGGAGAAACAGAGCTTCATGTGAAAGGCATTGAAAGGCATCTCAACCAGATGCTAACCGATTCAAACCAGTTTGATCCGGCTTTCATCAGCTGTATGTTGGTAAGGGATGTTCAGGGCCATATTAAAGATAGTAATTAACAAACGTTATGATTCCAGATGTTGATTAAATGATATCCAGAGTTTTAAAATAGAGATGCATGCTGAAATGGTCAAAAGACTTCAGACATTTCCTGAATACTTTACTCTATTAACTACCTGTGCCTCGACTGTTACATAAAACTTACCATTCATGGTAATTTTGTCATAAATGGTCACTTCGATGGAATCATTGATTTGATTGGCTGTTGAGTGATGTTGCCATGGTAGTAAAAAACGGGGTCATGCAATTAGTGAAGTTGTCGTGCTCTAGTGGAAACGTCAGCGGACTGTGGATTCCATGGTTGGTGTTTCTAGTATCGCCGCGGCACAAAGTGCTTTGTGCCAGGTGATGTAAATGGGTACCTGATAGGAATTAATTCCTTGAAATGCTAGAGTGTCATAATGGCAGGCATGCTGAAGCCTCAGTAATGATTGCAGAGCACCAAGAATGTCAAGTCTACTTTAGAACTAACTATTTTTATTATTATCATTTTCAATCCATGAAAATGAAATCATTGAGGAAAAATATTAATAAAATATCAGGGGTTTATTTATATTTTAATTCTTTGTTTTAGTTTTACATTTTAAATAAATTGGGCTCTAAATAACTTTGTTAGTACAAAACTTCACAATGCATTTTACTGTTAATGCATAAAAACAAAAGAGGTATTATTAATCCTGACTTGTGTATGTAGTTCATTGAAACTCATGAAAAATTGTAGGAATTTTGTGTACAACACGTGGTAAAAGTGCTTTTTCCCATGTTCATTCTGTATCATTTGTAATTTTCACCAGGTACTTTAAAATGTAGTTGTCATTTATTCTAACTGATTATTGGTTCAGATAACACCATCATTTGTGATGGGATTTGTTATGTGAAGATATCAACACGTACAAAAACTGTAGTATGTTTTACAGCAGGTTCAAAGATTTCATTCAATATATACATGTATGATAGTAAAATTACCCCTATGGATTTCCCTTTATCGTTCCACAGGAGATTGGTTTCTACCACAGTGAGCAGTTGACCCTTGACCCTGCAGCTATCAGCCAATCATGTCTGACCAGTCGTCAGCTTCTCATCGGTAAAACCGTCATATATCACGATTTGAGCTGATTAAAGTCATCCCTAAATTTGTTTAGTTTTTTATAATAATTCTGATGATAGCTTTTGTAAACAAAAGAAAAATTGCAATGAAAGATACATACAGTTAAAGATGTTCATGCGTGGGTATATAGTCGTTCGTGAAGTAGGCAACTTGGCGATCACTACATAACACTGAGCCAACAGGTATTACGCTCCCATGCATACGTCTGTGTGCTGCCCTCTATATACCCATGCACAAGCAACTTTAACAATTAAATATTTCATACTTTACCAAGTTTTGTAACTTTTTAAGTATGTAAAATTGTTATTTGTCCCGATTTTTGTTTCTTTAGAAAAGCTTACATCTGAAAGGCCCTTATTCAACCAGTCCATCTCTCATTCTTGAGTTACTAAAAACACAAAAAACATCAAATTTTCAAGGCGTATGCATATTTTAGTTGATTACAGTATCTGATAACACAGAGCTCAGGGAATTCGAGTAAGACTTTTGTTGTGCACGGCTGCCTTTCATTACCATTAAAGCATTAAAAGCATTGTGGCTTACCACTTCATATCCGAACGAGCCTTAAGGCTCGGTCACACATAGGGGACGCATGGGGGACGCACGGCCAGCGCATTGGGAATTTGCAATTTTGACCAGTGCGTTGTCGTTCGCTAGGTGTGCGTCATCATTCGTTACTCATTCGTCGAGCGCGCTGGACCAACGCTTTGCATTCGTCGTCATTCGCTGTGTGCGTCAGGATTTTTTGAGCAAGCTCAAAAGTGTGCGCGGAGGTGATGCATAAATGTACTTGCAAAAAGGACGCCAGACATGCGCTGAGCGCGCTAGACCAACACCAGATATACGCGGAGCCCACACCCTGTATACGCACAGCGCGCTAGCAACACGATATGCATCCGGTGTCAGCTCGCTAGGTTCTCCCAAATCCTGACAAAAATCGGGTTCACAACTTTTTTTTTATTTTCAATGCGCCGGCCGTGCGTCGTCTATGTGTGACCTGGCCATAAAGGGGCTGACAATTTTTTAAAACTCTGTTAGAATTATCTTTAAATGTTGTCATTTATAATTATAAAAGAGATTCTTAATCAATCTATGTTATTGCTTGAAGGTATTCGTGTGTTGGAGGAGGTGTTGATTAAGAAGAGCGGGGACGATGAGAGAAGTAGGAAGAGAGCAAGGACTTCAAGACCAGAGTCCAACCAGGAGATGAGTACATGGATTGAACTAGCTAGGTATGTTCATATGATTATCTGTCATTTTATTAAGCATATCACATTCTGATATAACAATGATCTACGCTACTAAAGGGCTTTTGAAATGACTACCCTAGCTTTTAGCTCTGTTAGCCATCACCACTCTGTATAAACCATAAGCAGTAACGATATCAGGATGAAGAGGAAACCCTGAAGCTTGTTGCCTATGATATCTGGACATTTTAAATCATCAAATGATGTTTGGCAGGCCAGTTCTAATTCTAAATTAAGGGGGGTGAGGTTTTTTTAGCGTTGATTGAGAGTTGGAAGTAGTGCTTGTCTTTAGATGTTTGTCTTTTGATTAATTTCTACTCTCCACAGCTACAGGAGGAGTATGGAATACCAGAAAGTTACATTTAATTTAAGGGAGAATGTAGTTTTTCAATTTTTGTTGCTGTGATGGAGATATTCTAAGCGCTTTGTATCTACTTGTAGAAAAGGCGCTATACAAATGTTCATTATTATTATTATTATATGCCTGTATATTTAATCGCAGCAATGAATGAACTTCTTTTTAATCATTTCTGAAAACTTTTAATTCAGTACACATCACAACCCTTTCTGAGTTGTCTCGTTATTGCAATCTATGAGAAATATGCTCCTAACCTACATATTCTGACAAGAAGTGCTCAATCTTTTAAAATATTTATTTGCAGGTTGTACAAAGCCATGGGGGAGTTTGATGTTCTACGAGGAATATTTGGCGCCCTCATTAAGACGAAGGATGTGACGCAGGAAGCTATCCAAGCGGAGTCAAGAGGAGACTACGAGTCCGCTCTCGAACTCTACTCAAAGGTAAAAGGTCACTCAGTTTTTCATTTTTCATTTGCAGTACAGAACTTGAAATATGCAATTCACAAACTGGATTTCAATCTAATTAAATAAATGTGCTGTAGAAATTATTGGATGTTGTTTCATTTTACGGTAGGTCTTTTTTGTCTCTAAAATTGAGGGTGCAAGGAAGGAGTCACGTTTGACGATGCGGAGCGTGTTCACAAACGGAAGTCAAAACTTCCAGACAACTGACAAGAAACGATTGTATCACACTCAAGACTAAAATCCTGATCAGACTATAAAAATTACAATGTAATTGGCATTTGTTGTTCAAATATACAAAATTATAGCTTACCCAGGGTAAAATGATAAAGGAAAATACATTAAAGCACTCAGAACAACATCGATGTGCCTTTCAATCATTCTAAAACATGCGTTGATCACGGCCAAGCTAAAGTTCGAAGTGAAGTTCGTTTTGCTCGATGAGCTTGGATACAGCCCTACACCATCAAACATGCAGGTCCGAAGGTCCGAACGGATTCAACCAAATAATAATACCACGTTAGACCTTTGTTCAATGTACATATCCAATTTGTGTAATTCACATGCAATTCAGTGGTGAAACTGCCATTCATGAAAGATGCAATAACCATTTATCTATCTTGTATACAGGCAATATCATCCGATTGGGGCCCAGATGGCGTTGCTCGGGAGGAGGAAGACTTCTGGGATGAGGCTCGTCTTCAGGTCAGCTACTCATATTTGTACCATTGGACATTCAAACATGATTGAATAATTCTTAGCTAATTTTTAGTACTTTCAGTGAAGTTTTAATTTGAGGAAGAAATATTTGAAATTATTTTGGAATGTTATCATGTAAATAATTGTTTGTTTAGGGAAATTTTATGCTGAAAACTTATTGCAAATGGCAAAGCAGTGTAAGTGGCTTACATATTAGCCTTCCCATAGTCCAAACATTTAATATAATGCCTTGTTTACTTTGCTTATTACTCACAATTACGCATGTTCTTCATATAGATTAGTCAGATGTTTTTTATGTATGTAGAGATAGTTTTGTGAATTGTTTATGCTCATAACCAGAGCCTCAGATTATCTTTAATATCAAGCAAATGTTCCGGTTTTATTTGACTGGATTCAATCATTTATTACCAAAATATATTCATAATACAGCAACCAAGTCATTTGATCACTTTCTATTTGTAGTGCTGCAACCAGCTGACAAAGTGGGATGACATGGAAAGCTTCTCAACTGATCAGATTGAAGGAAAAGGATCAAATGATTTGTCTCAGATATGGAACGATGATTACCAACAGGTACATTAAATTGTGTATTTTGGCCATGAACTAGTAGGAAACAAGTTTATAAGATGCAAGTGACTTCTTTAGTATTCAGGATTGTACATACATGTAATATCTTGATGGTTCTTTAAATGAGATCTGTTGAAGTACTATACCTTAATTTCATCTAATTTAATGTATCAAGTGTGTGTTTTTTTTACAGTTTAGAAGGTTCATTACATTTTATGGTAAAGTTATTTTTATTGTATCAGTTTTGACCTTCATCACTTAAGAAATGTTACCAAGTAAAATAATTGACAAGTTGTGTTTTTGTGAGTTTGTTCTCTTGTTTTTTGTTTCGGATGAGTTATAGAAGATGACATGTATCAGATTATTATTTTTGATGCAGAGGAGTGTTGCATACATATTTATTTGAAATTCATGTTGACATTGCTTACATTATTATGTCATGTTCTAAATGTTCTACATCATTTTGGTTTGCAGGAGATCTACCTGCCATACATGATGCGATCCAAACTCAAGCGCTTGATGGAAGGTTCAGAAGATGATAGTCTCCTAGGCTTCATCGATTCATCTGCCAAGGACCAAGAGAAGAGAGTCATTCTAGAGGTAAATTCTTCATTCTTTTTCTTTAACAAGTCAAAATATGACATGTAAAAATGTAATCTTCTACCAACCTTAAAATTAAGTAGGCAAGTTTTCGTCCACTCCTGTATGACCATCTCAAGCCAAGTGATTCTTTACAGTTTCCTGCTGTCTGCTGCCTCGAGGTCACTGGAGCAAAGATAGAGATAGTGACTAGCCAGAGTCCCTATTCAGTGAAGGCTTAATCATTTTTATCCACTCTATTTTCTGACTATTCCCACATATCATAGATGTACATGTATAACAAATTATTCATACCCCTTGTAAATTTGATGTTTTCTGTGTTTTTCATAACTCAAGAATTAAGGCATTTGTTGAATACTTTTAGGTTTAAGCTTTAATATGTCACATTCTCAACAAACATAATCAGGACAAATCGATTTTCAAAAACTTGGTAAGGTAATGAATAATTTAGTTGTTAAGTGTATCTACTTGTTTTATTGTTTGGAATGCAGAGATCTAGTTTAGAACAATCTGTATCATGATAGGAGCATTTTGATCTACATATGTACAAGAGAAATGATACATGCAGTAATACCAAGATGATTTATATCATGAGAAATGAAAGTACTTGTATATCTTTCAAACTTCTCATAGGAGTTATACAAGTTTTGTGTTAGGGACTGCCAACCCTTTCTAAAACTTCTGTTTTATGAACTGCAACTTTGATAAACATTTGTCATTTCTCCCACAGAAAAACTCCTGTGAATTGCAAAAACTAAAGGTTGTAGTTCAATCAATTTATGTCATGAAACTATCACAAGTATGGAGTACTTGTGAAGTTTGTGAAAGGTCCATGCTTATTAAGTTTCTGGTTTTGCGATCCGTCAAGCTTTAAAGGCATCGTTTAACAATGTTAAACTGAGATGCACAGCCCTACGTGTTATCAGTGTCTGTGATATGGTGTAATATTGAAGCCTTTGAAAAATTGCGCTTCAAAATGATCAAGAAGTGCCTCAAAAAAGTAAAAATCTTTGAGTGACCGGTTTTACCATACTCGTTTTCCCCAATAGACTGTAGTGTTATGAAAACCGTTAGGAAAACACAAAAATTGGTTTCGATTTCCAATCATAAATATCTTGATAATCAGACAGGCGATCGGCTTGTAAAAGTCATGGAGTTCCTGACGGACCTACACTGTAAAGGTTTTTAATTATCATTGCAGCATGAGCTAAATCCAGGATTTTGTTTCAGAATCTGAGACAAAGTTAACAGATCCCTTTAATAGAAAAAATGTTTTCATATGTGACTTTTTTTCTTTTTGCATGATTTGATCAGTCTCGATACACAGAGGAATTGGCTGCCTTGTCTATTTTGAAAGAAGACTACAATAGAGCGAAATATTACTTGGCAAACAGCACAAGTTCCTTTCTGCAGGTAGGGGTACACTGGGCATGTTGTCTTTTCTATTATTTCTCTGTCGGTGTTAGAATTTTGTTCTCATTTGGGTAAAAGGATGTAGTTGCATTTGATCAATGATTACAATGTACAATTTAGTTTCAGCAATGACAAATGAATGGGATGAAATCAATGCTGTTGTATTTTCAAAATGCCTCCATATTTGTTTGTTTCTAAAACCCCTTTCATAGCCGTTTCATCGCTTTTTTCATCGCTATTTCTCTTCTTTCTATCGGCTATTCTATCGGCTTTTTCTCCTCTGTAGCATTCATAGTGACCATTTTATAGGATGCATCCGGACGCATCTGATGAAAATCAGGCCACTATGAGAGGGGTTATCACATTTCTGATGCTTTTCATTCTGGGTTATTACTTATTAACAGGCCAAACACATAGCAGTTTATGATTTTTTTTTCATAACTTTTCAAGAATAATAGATTATTTGATTGATTGAATACACAATGAAAATGTACAATTAGTTGGGGACTGAAAAAGTAGATTTTTTCATGCCTCATGTGGCATTTTTCTTAGTCCTTTTCCAAAAATTCATGAAATACTTTTTCTATTTTTAGGAGTGGTCTGGTCTTGGACCTCTGATGCTTACAAGTCGTCTGTCCAAACTCCAAGACATCCAGAAGCTCACTGAAGCTGAACAGTTCCTACAACTTGCCAACAAACCATGTGAGTTCTCTCAAGTTTGCTCTTAATCCTACCATTTGGTCGCGTAATCTTGCTGTCAGTTGAACACTTAATTGATTTTGAATCAAAGTCTAAAATTGAAGCATTTTCAAACACCTTTGTGTTATGTTTGAAACATGAACTTGTAACAAGATACCACGAAAGTTAGATAAATTAAGATAAAATGCATTGAATATTGGAATCCTCCATTGATATTCTCAATTTAATATTCATAAACTTTGTTGATAATGTTGTTTTCATCAATTGCTTGACATCAGTTACTCATGGTGCACATAAAAGGACTACCAGTATACACAAAAGTAGAAGATGAGTACGTAAGTAGATGTTCTTGTTTTTATATTTTGATTATTATGATGCTTATAGTTTCGGAGGGTTTGAAGTCTTCTGCCACCAGACTTGTGTCGGACTGGTCCAGGAATCTACCAGACCCAAAGAGGGATCCAATCAGTGTGTGGGATGACGTCACTCAATACAGGTCAGTCCAGATGTATATTGAGAGTCTTTGAAAACAGCAGGGTTCATTCACATATCCTGTGGTGTACTAAAGTAATTGCAATTTGGGATGAAAATGGTTAATAGCTTCGTGCAGCTAAGTTCATACATGTACTCACATACAGTTATATATATGTTAATATACAAAAAAGGGAAGTGCAGTCATTTAAGTACGCTTTAATAAGAATCATGTGGTAAACCGCATTGGTTTACAGCTGCAGCATACAGTGTATGTGCTTTATATCAAACACTGATAATATTTCAGTGAGTCGTCACCAAGGTCATTGTATTCACTTTACACCCAGCACCTTCATTGCATACTTACTGCTTCCTTGAGTTTAATACAGTTACTCACATTTAACAGCAGTGTGCACTTGTTATTAAAACCACAATGAATTTGACATCTTATAGGTTACTTTTACACACCTGGATAACGAGAAGCAATGAGATATTCCAGTCTCATGTGCATAACTTAACCCCTCTCTCTGTATCTCTCTGTGTCTCTTTCTTTATGCATTTCTCTGTCTCTCTCCACCTTACTCTGTCTCTTTTTCTATCTCTTTTTCTATCTCTCTCTCTCTCTCTGTTTATCTCTTTCTATCTATCTATCTATTTACCTATATATCTATCTCTCTCTCTTTTTTTTAATATATATTTACCTCTCTATCCACCTCTCTCCCTCTCTCTCTCTCTTCCTCTCTCTCTCTCTCTCTCTCTCTCTCTTTCTCTCTCTCTCTCTCCATTTATCTATCCATTTCCCTCTCTCTTTCTCTCTCTCTTTCTCTCTTTCTCTTGACTGTACTTGTTGATGTGCATCATTCATCAGATGTCTCTACATGGACAAGCTGTGTAACCTGTTAGGTGACTCAGGAGGAGGAGGAGGAGGAGGAGGAGACTCCATGGAGACAGAAGACCAAAAGTTTGATGACCTTGTGAGGAGGGAGAAGGTTCTCTTGTCTATGAAGATGGCTGATAGTGCTTGCCAACAGGTGCGCATGTGATATTGAATAGCCTTGATTGGGATGCAAGGATATACTACTATCCCATGGGCTGATGAGCATATTTCACAAGTCGGCATGACAAACAAAATATTGTTAAAGCGAGTTTGATATAGTATACACGTGTATATCACAAAAGAAAGCCATTCAATATTGTTATTAGTTGTATGAAACCCAGTACCTTAATTTTCAGCACTACATCCTTATGTTTTTTTTAAAATGAAATCCACATTAATCAGAGGGAGAAAAATACATTTAGTCCTTACCCATCCATTTTGAAAGAGTTGCACGCATACATCCAATGTCTTAGCCTTTGCGTGTTTAAATGCATATTTACTGTTTCACGAGTTCGCATACCCCAAACTATGAAACATTGTTTTAAAATTGCACAGTCATCCTGGTACTTTTGCACAAAGCCCAAGATCTTTTGATTTTTCTGGTCGGCGCAAATAATAATACAAATATTAATTACAAAATGGATACATACTGTAATCTGCTGCTTGCAAGAAGGCCTTTGATTCATTGTTGTTGTTTTTTCAGTTCCTTGCATTTTTTAGGGTCACAACTCCAATAGTAGCAGGTGAGAATGCATATCATTGAATGTACTTTCATTAAATATCTACACATGTACATGTATTGATGAAAAGATGAAATTGAATTTTCAAACTGAAATTGGTTGTAAGAATGCTTTACTGGGCAGTTGACAACCATTACCTTTTCCATGATTCTGTCAAACAAAGGAAAAACTTCTTCATCAATTTCAGTCAAACCTGTCTATGAAGGCCACCAAACGAAAACACAAGAAGTGGCCTTTTTAGAGAGGTAGCTGCTAAGTATATTGTGATCCCATCTCATGATAGTAGATGTATGTGGAAGCAAAGTAGCACATCTTTGATCTTTTCCCTTTGTACTCCAGGCCAATTTCTGTGTTGCAGCCAAACATCTCAAATCAACTCATCGGGGCCTGGTAGAATTTGAGGACCTCCGACCAGCCTGGACTCACAGTTATGTGTCTATGACACAAAGGAAGGCATTGCTTCTTAAGCCATATGAAAGGATCACCTCTCTTCTCAAGGCCTTAGATCATCTCGGTAATCAAACTATAAAGTTGATTTGTTTTATGTATACTTTTTTATGCCTCCGCCACCGAAGGTGGTGCCGGAGGCATCATGTTTTCGGGTTGTCCGTCCGTACGTCCGTACGTCCGTCCGTACGTCCGTCCGTCCGTACGTCCGTCCGTCCGTCCCGTTTGACCGTTATCACAATATCTCAAGAACCATTTAAGATTTAAACTTAAGACTCGGGAATAGTATTTATCACCATAGGAAGACGATCTGATTACATTTTGGAGTACGTAGGTCAAAGGTCACAGGTCACAGAGGTCAACTTATGAAATTCCTTGTATTGAGTTTGTTAGCGCGATATCTCAAGAACCATTTGAGATTTAAACTTCAAACTTAAGGATAGTATGTATCACCATAGGAAGACGATCTGATTAGATTTTGGAGCACGTATGTCAAAGGTCAAGGGTCACAGAGGTCAACTTATGAAATTCCATACATTGAGATTGTTATCATGATATCTCAAGAACCACTGGAGATTTAAACTTCAAACTTAGTGATAGTGTGTATCACTATAGGAAAACAATCTGATTACATTTTGGAGCACGTAGGTCAAAGGTCAAGGGTCATAGAGGTCAACTTATGAAATTCCATACATTGAGATTGTTATCATGATATCTCAAGAACCACTGGAGATGTAAAAACTTCAAACTTAAGGATAGTATGTATCACCATAGGAAGACAATCTGATTAGATTTTGGAGCACGTAAGTCAAAGGTCAAGGGTCACAGAGGTCAACTTATGAAATTCCATACATTGAGATTGTTATCATGATATCTCAAGAACCACTGGAGATTTAAACTCCAAACTTGTTTAAATTGCTCTATGGCGGAGGCATCATTTTCGACTGCGCGCAGTCAAAATTCCATCTAGTTTTGTTATGCCTCCGCCACCTTATGTATTGCTGGAGTCATTGTATTTTGGGGTTGTCGGTTCCGCTTTTTGTTACCGCAATAATTTGAGAACCATTGAACAAATCCTCTGGGATCAAGAATGTACAAGTATGCAAGGACGAACTGATTAGGGTTTGAATTGAAGAGTTCAAAGGTCACACAGGTGTCCTAAAAATACTTTAACTCTTATGTTAGTAAACAAGATACAGTCAAACCTGTCTAAACCAACTACACAACGGAAACACAAAAAGTGGTCTTTGTAGACAGGTTCCTTTTGTACATGTTTCAATGAGAGACCATTTTCAAAAGAAACAAAAAATGTGGTCTTTATATACAGATGCATACATTATTGAGAGGCATCTGAGCAAGCACTAAATGGAATCTGTATATTCCATGCAATTTTAGTTTGTTATGAAAATTAACATACTTAAATAATACTTAAATAATTGAATATAACATAGTTTTCAGAAGTATAAATTCCATTTTTTTAATCCATCTCAATCATTCAATCAGTATAATATGTTGTATGATGTGCTGCAGGCAAGTTACCAGTATCCCATAACTTGGGGAGTGATCTGTTCCTACTCTGCGACCATCGTATCCTGACCAGTAAGACCTATCAGTCCATGGCTAGTGCTCTACAAGAAGAAAGTAAGTAGGCCTGATAATCGTGAAGAAGAATGGCGGTTAGAGAAAATTGAAAGCATGAGAAGAAAAAAAAATTAATAATTTTACATATTACATTATTATGCTTTGTACAAGAAGGTACCTCGATGAATGAGATGCATGACTGAGTGGAATCAAATTAGATGACGACTTTGTTTTGACTATTAAAGAGGTGTGCATTATGTACAATACCTGGTCTTTACCTACAAAGTTGTAAAATACTTTAAACTTGTTCATTTTCAGACCATATTCAAAACATGCATGTACAGGATTAAGGAATAGTCTAATATTATGGTGATTGTAATGATAGAGTGCAAGGTAAAATTTTCTCTTTTCTGTCTCTGTCTTCTTCATTGCTAAGAAATATTAAATGATAATAATGGAGGTTTAAATCTGCATTTACGTAACCCATGGTCTATAATTAGCGCAAAATAAGCGTGACACAGTCAGAGATCCAATATTGGACGAGCGTGAGGCAAGGTACGCTTAATTTGCGCAAATTTTAAACCATGGGTTATGTAAATGAGGGTTTAAACCTCCTTTGTGAATTTGGGCCTTTGAGACTTTAAGTTTTAAAAGTGATAAATGCTTTACAGTATCTGTACAATAACACGGCTTCCCATTCAGTCCTCGGGACAACTACTCTCTCTACCAAGTTGTAAATACTGTTGGTACAGATGAAGTATAGTTACAGTATTTTGGATCTTCCTCCCAGCTTGTCTAACAACTTCTGTTTTTCTATTTCTTGCTGTGATACTTTAGAAGGAGAAATGTTAACCAGACTCAGTGATGCCGGCAAGCTGGATAAATTGCTTTCTAAAGCTGAATGTCAAGAGAGCAAACCTGAGAAGGTGAGAAAATTAAAATATCTTGAAGTCAGAACCTTGTTGGTCATGATCCTTAACCCCTAACGTGCCATTTGCAGCAAACCCTGCACCAGCTTTCAAGCTTTGACGATCATATTTGGAAATCACATGACTCCTGTAATACCAGAATCCTTTGCGTGCATGAAATGTGTTCATATTCCACAAGTGGTTTAAATTCACGAAAGTTTCATGCTGTAAAAATGCTGAATTAATTAAATTGTAAGTGAAACTTCACCATTGGAAGTTTATTTATGGCAGTTTTATACCTAACAAGCAAAACAAAAACAAATGAGAAAATATACGGTAAATGGACTATAAGGGCAATCAGTATGATTTATTGGTATTCCTCCTAGACTTTTGTTTTCCACTCCATTGAATACAGGTGTGTCAGAGTCTGTTTATGAAGAGCAAGAAATACCTTGATGATGCCGTAGGAACCATCAAACTAGACCCTGCCTCCCATTCATTATCATCATCAGCTAAGAGAGAGGAGCAGAGCATGGCAAAGGCGCACATGGCTCTCGTCAGCTTTTGTGATCAGTTGCTACGGCAACAAGACGATGGTAAATGAATATTAACATTGCTTATCCATGAGTATGAGTACAATGACATGTTTTGTCCATTCATTCAATTTGCTGAGAATTATATTAGAACAATGTTCTAAAAATAAAAAGTGTCCTAAACCTTTATAATAATAAATGATTCTTACTGAGCACTTTATCGGTTACAACGCTCACAGTATTATTACCCCGGTCACTGGATTCTGCTTGATTCTGCAGAGTCGTAACAGAATCCAGTGACCGAGGTAATAATAAAGCCAATTGCCAGTTTTAACCCCAGGTTATAACCCTAAACCTAAACCTGACCTAAAACTTAGTTGCAAACCTAAGCCTGTATTTTTGATGTTATAAAGCCCTAGAGCAATTGTCACCAGAGCAAATGACTGATAAAATTAAAAGTACTTTAGTGATCTTGTCTACCCCTCACTGATCAGTATTAGTAATGTTCTTACTTAGGGCCTTTCTATTCATATTAATGTATTACCTAGGCTTTAGTCAAGCAATTATGACAAGGCACTCAAGCATTCAAGGAATTTCTTCCTACTGAGTACCCACTTACTACTTCTGGGTAGAAAGTGACTAGGAGACAAATTTTATGGTAGGTTTTTACATCAAATTCTGCCAAATTTATTTTAAAAAGACACTATTGACAGTAAACTTTGTATTTAATGTCAGATGACTTACCCACTTACTACTTCTGGGTAGAAAGTGGCTAGCAAGAACAATTTTATGGTAGGTCTTTACAACAAATTCTGCCAAGTTCATTAAAAAGAGAGACTATTGACAATAAACTTTGTATTTAATGTAAATAATTTGTAAATAATGTGATTTCTTTTAATTTTCCAATAAAAACCCAAATTTAAAAAAAAAAGTATTACTAAAAAAAAAAAAAAGTCTGATTTTGACTAGCGGTTAAAAAGAATTTGAAAATAATCTGTTATGTAACAACACTTGTCTTTACAACAAATGCTGCCAAATTTATTAAAAAGAGACACTATTGACGGTAAACTTTGTATTTAATGTCAGATGATTGCAACCCTGATTATTTGCCCTTGATGGAAGCATACCCCTCCACCGTGGTCAACTCAACTCTTCAAGCTATGAATCTGAACTCACCCGAGGCCAGGCAACACTTCCCAAGGCTGCTCCAGCTGGTAGAAAAATATCCTGATACCATGCAAAGTCTTGTAAAAAAGGTTCGCATATATTACTCTTTCCAACTTAAAATCTTATATTAAATATTGTTTTGTTTGTTACATTGTTCGATTTTTGAGTGTTTTTTTCCTTAGATAGACTCAAGATTTTCTTTTGAGCAATTTTGTGCTGGTTTCATGAGCTGATGTACATGTATACACTTAGGCTTAAAGCTGTGAATATATGATCAAGATAGGCAAAAGGAAAATATTTGTTTTTATCAGAATGGAATTTACACTGATGTGTATTTTTGTTTTTTCTGGTCCTAATATTAAAAGAAACTTATTATCAGAGTGGAATTTCCCTTTAAGTCTATGGGAGTCTATGTGAGAATTCAGTGGTCAACAGGTTAAAGTAACATAAAGCAGCTTTGATTAATCACAGTCATATGTTGGTTTTGCTATTGTTAAAGCCCATAACATTTTAAGATAATGAATGTAATTATATGATATTTTTCGTTGTTTTGTACCACACAGGCTTCCATCATTCCAAGTTGGATGTTCATTGGTTGGATAAGCCAGATGGTAGCTCTTCTTGACAAACCAGAATCTTTAGCTGTCCAGGGCATCCTGAAAGCTATCGCAAAGGATTACCCACAGGTAATACAATCATGATGAGTGAGAGGAAATCTTCAAGCATACAACAAAATGTTTACACCCCCCCTTCCCTTTCAGGCGGTGTTAATATTACCAAAAACATGTCACTTGACTGTACTTACAATTAAAAACAAATACCGGAAATAGTTTGTTTACTGGCTTTGATGGACTGAGTAGCACTTACATACCATGCTCATCGATTGATATTTGAAAGGTTTTTGTGTACCATCTAATACACAGATATACATCTCTGTAACCCATGGTGAATGTTTCTTTTTTTTTTTTTTTTTATAGTAACGTGTTCAGTCCCAAGTTTCAGTTGTTACTTGTACAGTCTTAATTTTTAGAAGACCAAATATTTCATACCAATTGTTGTTGGCTGCCTGCAAGAAGGCCCTGTTTGCAAGTGACAATACATCCACTTAACAAATGGATTATTCATACCCCTTGTAAAAGTTATGCTTTCTGTGATTTTCTTAACTCAAGAATGAAAGGTGGGCTGGTTGAATGAGGGTTTTTGTTGAACGCTTTTAGATGTAAGCTTTCAATATGTCACATGCTTAGGAAGCATAAATGGGGACAAATTAATGCTTGACGTACTTAGACAACCTGGTAAGGGGATGGAAAATTTATATGTTTACTGTAGCTCTTACGGCCATCTTGCGGTTAAACGATTATATGTTATTTGATGCTTGGGCTCCACTGTACCTATTTCTTCAGCATAGAGTTAGTAAAAGAATTCATTTGAGCCTGTGTATCACCTTGTATTTAGGCTCTAGTCTACCCATTCAAGATCAGCAGTGAAGATTTCAAACTTGGAGATAAATCAAAGGAGAAACAGAGGAAGGATGCAGTCAAGGAAATAGAAGACATCTTATCTACAGTACCACTAGTTGAGAATCTTACACTAGCTCTACAGAGACTTACCCATCCTGGATTCATCTTTAAGGTATATTATTTTGCAAAAATGATTGGATTTTCGGAAAGATCTTAATAATGCTAATACTATTCTCGGTTTAGATGGCACTCAATACATTGACGATGTCTCTTAAAGTGCTTCGCAGATGTTTCATTACTGTAGTCATCAGATTCATGCTTGCCTGCACACAATGTATGCACATTCACCACTCCTGGGTAGCATTCTAGCCCGGCACTATTTTACACACACTTACAATGCTGAGCAAAGTACAGTGACATGCGCAACCTATTGGTTACCCTTTTAACACCTGGGTGGAGAGTGCCGAATGTGGATTGGTGTCCTCTCAAAGAACGTTAATGCTGGGCTTGGATTCAAACTTTCAACCCTTGGATAGAGAGTCAAGTGAATAACAGCTATATACCACAATGTCTCCATCTTACATTGTTTCTATAGACAAAGCTCTGAGCCAATATTCAAGTCAATACTTAAATTGAGTCGGTATTTTACTTTTGCTTTAAATGGCTCAAGTTTATTCAGGTCACATCTATATATTTTACACTAGTTTGTTTGTTTTATTTCCATATAAAAAGACATCATGCAATCAGCAAAATAATATCAAATAGAATAATGAATTCCAAGATAAAATAAATGGCTGGATAGCCCATATTCAGCGGTATCGTTATGAGAAAAATACTCATTAGCCATCGTGTCATCACATAGCTGATCCAAAATGATGCATAATAAACTTGTTGCCCATTTAATGACTCTCTGTAAATAAAGATCATACATGTAATTCAGGTAGGTAGCACAATAGATATAACATACTGTTTGCTTTTTTTGGCCACTTGCAATTCTAGGATTGGGTCAGTGTAATCAACAGTAAGATGAACAGTAAGAAACGTGATCATCTTGCCATCAAGGAGGAATACCAGCAGCTTTATCAGCAGCTCTTTGAGTCCGGAGGAAGGCAAGGAGAACCATCCAGCTCTAGCCAGACAGTAGAACCAGGACCTTACTGGAAGAAATTTGGAAGGGTAAGTATACTGGTTGATTATTAAGCCTGGAAAACCTCCCTACAGATCTCATTATCTGAATTTAGAAGGGGTTTAACCAGTTGAAAACTAAGCCCAAGTTGCTGTTGCAGCTCTTATCTGACAGTAGAATCAGGGGTATACATGTACTTGAAGAAAGTTGGAAGAATAAGGTGGTTTTCATTAGTTGTGAATTAGTATCTTGGTCACAATGCCAAACCTACTCCACACCGACTCCAAACCGACCAAGTTTAAGCTGTTATGCAATGTTTTAATTGTTCAGATGTTGGTCTGCTTTCGGTCTCATTGGTGTGACTAAGGTATAAGCCAAACTTTTATTAGCTAGAAGAAGGTTGGAAGGGCAAGTTGGGTTTTACCAGTTGACTACTAAGCCCAAAGTAATTTCTGCAGTTCTTATCAAAGAGGAGGACTGTGCTGGAAGAAGGTCGGAAGGGTACGGCGAGTATAACCAGTTGCAAATTAGGACTTCAGTCAAACTGCCATACCTACTCCACTCCTACACAAGCCAGTCAAATTTGATCCATTTGATGTTTGATGTTTTACTCGCTCTGCTGTTGGCCTTCTTGGTGTGACGAATGTCTCAGCCCAAGAAAGGTCCTCCATCTCTTATCAGAGAGTAGAAGCAGGACCTTGCTGGGGGAAGGTTGCTCAAGGGAGGCAAAAAAAGCAGTCTGTGTGGGCAGGTGGTCTTTATGAACAGTTTTCAGTACATTACTTTAGTACATTGTGTCATCGGGATCCACTATTTAACAGAAAGAGAGAATGTTGTGGCCTTTATAGGCTGGTGGACTTTGTATACAGGTGGTCGCTAAGGGAGTTTTCACTGTAGTTTACTGTTTGTGGTTTGTTTGCTTCAGATCAAACATCTGCTGAAAGCTTTCCTCTTCCAAAGTAAGAGTAAGGCAAGTTCATGTAGCATATACCTGTTGTTTAGCTATAGAAAATTTTATGTTAATATTATGTTTGACAGTGTCAAAATCATGTCGTCATCATTTTGTTAGAAGAGAATGAAGTCTTGAAATGTTTGCTCTCTTTTTCTTAGGAATGGCAGAAGAGGTTTGATTCATCATTTGGTCAAGATGGAAGTAAGCTTGCAGCAATGGACTACAAGGTAAGACCAAGTCTGGAAACTCATGTGAATTGTAATGCAGAGGCTTTCCTGATTCAGCTGAGTACAGCTTTAAAGCACATTGATGATTTCCTTTTTTCCTGAGTTTTGATCCTGAAGAGAATAAACAATTTCTGAATGACAACAAAATATTTTCATTCCTAAAGGCTTAATACAGGAACCACTTGTTTACTCCAACATCAAGTCTTTTCTCCATTGTAGTAGCAGATGCGCAAATAAGCATTTTATGCTTTTCTTTTGTAGAATAAACACGACTATATTCTAAACCATCTTGGAAACGTTGTTAATTTCTACAATTACAAAATATCAGAGTACTGGCACAATTTACTCCCGTGACTGTTTACATACAAATGAGCATCATGTTCTAAGCATATTATGTCTGCATATACATGTATCAAGCATGGAACACATATCAATTGATTTCTTTGCTTGCAGACATGGTCCAAGCTAAGGCAGGACATCTGTGCAAAGATGACTCCAGGAAAAGATGACCCTGGCAATCTCAAGGAGTACTCTCCCTGGTTCACTGCGTTCCAGACTCTAAGGGGAGATGAGCTGGAGATACCTGGTAGGTAATTGGTTCTACCACCGTGCTTCAAAATTTGCTTCAGGCTTTATTTTGTAAATAATATTAACGCATTTAAATAGTGCATTTTCCATATACAAGTTTTCAAGTTTCAAGTTTTATTTCATTTCAAATCCATAAAAAAACATATAAGATACAGATTATATAATAATAATAATATTTACAGTGCTTATATAGCGCCTAACACTTACCTTGTCAGAAGTCTCTAAGCGCTCTACAATAATGCAGCATAATTACCCTGGCTTTAGCAGTGCAGCTGTTACGCGAGCTGCATTTCAAGGAATAAATTCCTACCAGGTACCCATTTACTTCACCTGGGTGGAGTGTGGCAAATGTAGATCAATGTCTTGCCAAAGGACATTAGTGCAGCGACGGGACTCGAACCGCAGACCTTGTGATCGATTGTCCGGCGACGTATCCACTCGACCACAACACCTCTACAATATATACAATATAGAAGACACAGAGCACATACAAAACGGAAACATGTCTACAAATATACCAGAATTATACAAAGTTAATCAGCAATAGAAATGAATTGGGGAAACTGCAAATAAAACCATAAGGTTCTGTTGAGGCAGTTTAAAATTATTTTATTAACTTTCATATAGAATCATTTTTGTATTTCTAGGTCTAAGCCTCGATTCTGAAACCTTATGCTAAGGAAATGTACCACATTTCCCTCCTGGCCGTAGTCAAAGAAAGCCAAGACTCAACGACCGGACTGGACTTGGTATACTATTCGGATACAAGGAAACAACGACACTGCTATTCTTGTATTTACTTTGGATTTATCTGTTACTGGTACACAATTTTTCTGATCTGTTGACAGGTCAGTACGATGGAAGCAAGAAGCCTCTCCCAGCCTACCATGTCAAGATCGCTGGATTCGACGAGACGGTGCTGACGCTGTCCTCTCTGCGCAAGCCCAAGTGCATCACGATCCGAGGCAACGATGAGATGGACTACCCATTCCTGGTCAAGGTTGGAGAGGATCTCAGGATGGATCAGAGGATAGAACAACTCTTCTGCATCATGAACGGCATTCTGGCACAGGATGCGGCTTGCAGCCAACGAGGGCTCACTCTTACTACCTATCAGGTTGTGCCCATGACTCCAAGGTATGCCACGTAACATGATTTGACTGCAATTGTTATGATTGCGTTCATTGTCTCAGTGAATTATATGTAAAGGATATTAACGATACCAGGTACAAGATACACAAAGTCATACCCCTGGCATGATGGTGATGATAATGATACTACTACTATTACTACTACTACTAATAATAATGATGGTGATGATGATGGTGGTGATGATGATAATAACAATGATAATTATAATTATTATTATAATAATGATAATAATACTAATAAAAGTCAGTGTCAGAAGCATACAAAATACATTATATTCCTAATCATCCCTCAAAAGGATTTCAATTTTGCTGTGCAATATGAGCAGAGGATGTACAATATTTTCTCTCTTAATTTTCTCTTTGAAGACTTGGTATTCTAGAGTGGGTAAAGAGAACAACGACCCTGAAGGATTTTATTACCAGATCCATGACTGAAGCTGAGCATAAGGTTTATACATCCAGGTAAGCTCCATTCACATTCACATTCACAATCGTGTTGCATACGTATGATCGTAAACTGTGTGGTAGTGGGAGGGTTATACACCAATCCTGACTATTACCTCTCATGGCTTTGAAAATAGATAGCCAACTAAACTACTGTATTCTCCGTGTATAAGACGCAATTTTTTCCCGCGGTAAAAATTCAAAAGTCGGGGGTCCATCTTATAGACAGGTACAGGATATTTTGAGTCCTCAAAACGCTACTTTTGAGTGGTTTTCAAAAATCTCTGTCTCTCAACATAATTTACATAATGCGAATAAAGAATAGGATCTACAATTTGAAGTTAACCTACATTCAACAATTTGAAGAGAAGAGAGTTGCTGTTTCTTTTTGCTTTTTGTTTTTTTCAGTCTCGATAAATTATACCCCTTCACTTTGCCGGCCGAGGCTCACCCTTGTCTCCAGCTCACTCGCACAGGGGGTATCGACTCACCACTGAAAAACTAGCCTGTCCAAATTTCTATTTGGACTCGGAGCAAAATTTGTCTGTCATCTTTAGTTTTAAAAACAACATTGTTACTATTATTTGTGACAAGTTCACAAGCACTTCAACTGTGCCTCGTAATAAATGAAAGTCCTTCCCTGCATGGGTTTCTGAACGCTGATTTACGGTACTAATTTTAAGACAATGGACTTTGTGTGGTTATGCCAGGTAGGTGCCCACATTCGGGATTCTACATGTACTACATGTTGCCACTGAGAGTCACATATTTTATCTTTACCATTTCTCCTCCATCCACAGCTACAGTAATAATAATAATAGCCTAATAGTCTACTCCAAATTTTATTAAACCGAAACAGAAATTCTTTTTGCCTAATTGATCGTGAGCCCGGCAGCCACTGTGCAGCGCCAGATCGACGTTGCTCAATCCCTTATTGTTGAACGCCAAACAAGGTAGCAACAACTCCCATCTTTTAACGTCTTTTGGTATGACGTGGCCGGGGTTCGAACCCACGACCTCCGGTTGTGTGGCGGACGCTCTACTGACTGAGCCAACACTCCGGTAACAACTAAAGCTAGGGTAATAATTTCCAAAGCTCTCTGGAAGCCCATAGAGATGTTATTTCATAACGTATTATGCCCTATACAAGAACTGAATATTATTAGTATTATTATTTTCAATTGTATCACATTCCCTTTGTTATGTAATCACAGGACTGCCGGACCAGGAGCTCTCTTCACTACTTGGCTTCAAAAATTCTGCCAAAATGATGGGAACATTATTAAACTCTTTACTGAAGCATACAAGTAAGTAGAACAACCTCAGCAGTGATGGTCAGTGAAAATATTTTCATAACTCTTTCTTTGTTGGAATGGTGATTCTTATACAAGGATTTCAGCAGTATGGCATGGGAAATTGTGCATTCCTGTTTCAGCTTTTAAAGGGACTTGGTAACATTGTTCAGATGAGAGAGTGACTTCAATGCTAGATGTACAATTAAAGATAATCTGAAAGTTTGTGTGAAAACAGACCATTATTAATGATAAAAATTGGGAAAAATATGATCTGATCTATTCCAAAATTCTCCCTACTATATTATTACAATTTAATTTAATTAAATTTTAGGTAAATGTAAATCATCACAAAGCAATTAATTGGCTCTATATACCATTCCAAACATTTAAGTGTTGAAAGATTTTAAAAAGCATGTTTTATGTCTTATTTTTAATGGAAAAACGGTTGGGAAAATTCAAGAATTTACAGTTCGAGCGTGTCGCACAGTGACGCCTTTCAAGAAAACCATAAAAATCTTTGAGGTTTGAGAATTTTGTCAGGACTTTTTGCATGTTAGAGGGTTAGTATGGTAAAAGGAATATAATAAGTAACATTTTGTACAAAAATTACGCTGTACCACTGCGCCATTGCTACTGGTATGGAGACATATGATGTGGAACAAATGTAAATAATGTGAAACCATGAAAACTATGATTTTTCTTTCTTTCAGGAAAGCAAATGAGACAGAGACTATAAAAGCCTTCAGAGAGAGAGAAGCAAAACTACCTTGGGACCTTCTTAGGTATGTTTCTTTTATTGATAAATGATTAATATGTTCTAAATTATATAATCATGCAATATTAATAATTTATAATTGTGGGTTCTTGTATAGCACTCATATCAGACTTGATACTCCTGGTGCCCCACAATTATTACCCCGGCTTTAGAATGGCTGCCATTATGGTGCTCTAGCAGACAGAGTTATAAATGTTTTCATATAGATACATCGACATGCACATGCAGCAGTAGATAATTTTATTCCACAAGTGAAAGTGTTGTGAAATTATGAAGGTCAATTACATTTATCAGATTTCTATCAAAACAGGAAATTGTGGAGGAGAGGCAACAAACTTTTTTAGTGCTTTAATCTCCAAGAATACTAATACAGACTTATGTTCTTGTCTTGACTTATCTTGTACTTGAATTTCTTGTTCATCTGGGACTTTGCATTATTGTACTCTAATGTTTGTGAAGTCAAAAGCTTATTGTATATCTGCCTTCATTGCAATTTTGTGTTTCTTTAGACGAGGCTTCATGCAGCTGAGTGCTTCCCCTGAAGCATTCTTGACGTTGAGGGCGCACTTTGCTCGTTCGCATGCTGTCCTGTGTATCTGTCAATACATTCTTGGTATAGGTGATCGACATCTTTCAAACTTCTTGGTCAGTTTAGAGACAGGCGGTATGGTGGGCATTGACTTTGGTCATTCCTTTGGATCAGCTACCCAGGTAAGAAGGCTGAAAACCAGTCATATGTTGTGAGAACAGACTTTATTAGTTTAAGTTGTATTATCATAAAATGAGAAGGGAACTGTGTCATTTTCTTGCCATTATTGTGTCATTGATTATTTGAGGTTGATTTATTTTCTTCAATTTATTTCACAAAGATGAATAAAACCACTTCAAATGCTACTTGTCTAAAGATAAAAATAGTACTTTATGTTTTACAGAAGAAATATTCTACATTTTCTTTGTGTCATGTCTACAATTATTCTTGACAGTTCTTGCCGATCCCAGAGCTGATCCCATTCCGTCTGACCAGACAGATCATCAACCTCATGCTACCCATGAAGATAGATGGCGTCCTACAGAGTACCATGGTTCATACATTGAGGGCGCTTCGTCAGAATCATGAGCTTTTAGTAAACACGATGGATGTGTTTGTGAAAGAGCCATCTCTCGATTGGAAGGTTGGTTTGTAGACTAAGAAGAAAATGGCTTGTTTTTTAATAGACCTGCAATGCGTTGTATTTCATGTTTCTCTCCCTAGCATCTGGTTTCCAACCATTTAATTCACCTGCTCTGAATAATGGCATCTCTATGTATGGAATCATTTTGCATACATTACTTGTTGCTATGTCGGGCCATCTTCTCACAAGCCTTTTAAATGGCAAGAGAAGTATTTGTTTAAAATGTATGGAATTTTTAAACATGTCTATTGTATCAAAATAATATCGCTAGTGACATCTGTTTGTCTCGCAATGCATGGTCAACAAGGGATCAAAAGATCACAAAGTTTCGTGCGCCAAGTTATTTGACCGCCAGTCCACCCGTAGAGTATAAAAGACGCTTGCTTACAAATATATTTTATCACCTGACGAAGTGGCGCCCAAAACTTTGAGATCTTTTGATCCCTTGTTGACCATGCATTGCGAGACAAACGAACGTCACTAGCGACATTATTTTCGATACTATATCCGCAATGAGTAATATATATAGCATTATGTCTATTGTAGTACCTATTATGTGGTGCTTTGAACCTAAATGGAGCTAGAAAAGCTGATTTAAAAAAGTGGATTAAAAAACAAAATGAAATGTGATCAGTTTTAAATAATCCTTAATTGCAGTGGCCCTAAACTGGATTTCCTAAATATTTGTTTTGTGATTTGTAGTGTTTCGCTGTGAAGCAAGCCGATTACCAGAAGTTGTCTGAAGATAGTCGTGAGGACATCTCATGGTACCCAAAGAAAAAGATTAAATTTGCAGAGATGAAACTTCAAGGTGTTAACTCAACGTACATCACCAAGTAAGTATCCTTTTTCTTTTTCCAACCCTTATCCTAAAAGTCCTGGGCCCATATTCAATTCAATACAATATGTATAAGACTTGAAAGAAGACAAAAATGGAACTGATAGGCCACTACTGTTGTAATTATTTCACAAAATGTCTAGAGACGGGGCACTGATGCGCTCCTGGACTGTCAGTGTTGAAATATAATTTCTTGTTTTGGGACCTTTGAGGGACCTTTGTGGGACCCGTAGTGAAACATTTTGTGTTTATGAAATCAGACATTAGAAGAATCATTGTACATTTTTGAAGCAGTAAGCTGCCTCGTAATGATTAAGATCATGTGCCATATTCACAAAAGTGCAATGAAATTATAACACAAGTAAAGTGTAGGGATGGCTATAGCAGCAATTCTTGTAACAAGACAATACTTTATTTGATGTTTACTCTTCTATTTTACACTACAGGGCAGAGCTAGAGATGGGGCCGCATTCGAAGGACGCGAAGGACGCTCCGTTCTTGAAAGCATTGAAGTCTACATGTGGTGGAAATACAGAGAGCAAACGAGCACAATCTAAGTCAAAAGGACTAAGCGTTGAGGATCAAGTCGCTTGTCTAATTGATCAAGCCACTGACCCTCGCATTCTTGGGAAAACCTACCAGGGATGGGAGCCATGGGTCTAGGCCTATTGGTCATTCATCAGATGGACTTCATTAAAGTTGAATTGTACATGTCATGATATCATTGTATGAGGTATTGCATGGTACAGCATAAAACGTAAATAGTTTTTAGAACCACAAGGTACCTTTCCACTAGCTTTGGTTATTATCTTAAAAGATAGAGAGAAACTTAGAAATTCTGTTCTCAAAGTTCCTGAACAGGTTCAGATGAATTGTACCAGTATGGCATATTTTTTAAAATTTACAATCACATTGTCATTGAAATATCATTGTTGATTAGTCATTGTGAAACATCTACTCTAGAAATATTCAAGAAATTGGGTATGTACATTTGGTACATGTGTTCTTTGCCTCTTACTAGTGCTTCCTGTAGAATGTAAAATATATGAACAAAATGTTGCATTAGTAAAGGCATGAAGTAATAGTGTATAATCAACTCAGTCTTGGTCAGAGTATTTTAACCTTAGAGCCACTCGGCCTGTACAGTTTTGAAAAGCAACACATTAATGTACATGTAGAAAGGAAGAGAACTGAAAATCTGAATAAAATGTGGATGTGTGAATTATATTTCTTACAAGTAAAGATAGAGTTATGTACACATTTACTTGTATCAATAAGCAATAGTTACTTGCAATGTGTAATTCACTTTAAATCACAGCAGAATTAGTCAATTCAATGTATTTTCTTCTTGTGATTGCCGGTGAGCTCTGCAATACAGCAATCAATATCATAATGCAGAGGAAGTAAAATTCTGTCAGAAGGGCTTACTACAGGATGTTTGGATGTAATTATTTGTATTCCATACATGTACAAAATGAAATATGGTTATAAACAAACCTGTTGAGCAGTCTATTATTGAATAAGAGCAGACTGTTTAAAGTAGGCAGTAGATATTGAATAATCTACAGGTAGTAATGTGAGTTCGTGAAATTCATAATATATACTCAGAAGGTAATAGTATATTTGTATTTTGTAAAGCGCTTAGAGACATTTTTATTAAGCGCTATATAAAAGCTAAATATTATTAAGGGCACTAATTCATATACATTCAAACCTCCTTTAGTGAAAACCTGTCTACAAAGACCACATTTTGTATTTCCCTTGGGTGGTCTTTATAGACATGTTCCATTATACAAGAACACAGTGTCAACAATCAGGGTTCCCACAGTCATGAAAAAACCATGGAAAGTCATGGAAAATGTTTCAAAAATCTCCCAGTCATGAAAAGTCAAGGACATTGATTGTGAGTGTGGGACGTATGTGGCTAAGGCGGCCAGTTTGAACTGACAATGTACCTGGTATCCATATGCCTCTTGGATGCCACAACCCGTACCAAAGTGGTACTTACCCGGTCATGGAATTCGGTCCTCAAATTTCTGTGGGAACCCAAGATATTAGTCTATACATAATAAGCAATCTGCTGAAAGTCAGAAGATTGTCAACCTTCCGACTCTTAACAGGTTGTTTATTATGTATTGACTAAATCTGAGTGATTTCTCAAGCTTGAGCATTGGGACATTTTAGATATCTCTGCATTTATCATGTCAAATAGAAATATATTAGGTCTGTGTGTAGCCTATGTATATGAATACCTGCTGAAATACGATCCTATGGGCCTGAATTATCAAGAGCATTTTATTGTAATTATGTTGTTTTTTATTACATTGTTTATGAATACTTGTGCCTGGATATCGATAAGCGACTTGACTTCAGAGATACATGTTATAAAGGTCATTTATATGAAACTGTAAAACCTGACGATATAATTGCTGGATGTGTTCATGATGTGTTCATGAAAGTTATGTGACCGTTATTCATTTTAATATATTCTGTGATACATAGGAGGAAGTATTGTGTCAAGATGGCAAACAAAAGGTGTTTTGCGTACCTCCATCACTTTTGTAGTGATTATTCTAAAATGCATGGTGGGACTTCTCAACATTTAAAGGATGTGTGGATAGATTTGAGCCACTTAGGGGTCACTTGTACAAGTGCTATCTCCAAAATGACTGATTGAGCGATAAGATTAACAATGATCAACATTCCTCTTGAGTGATTTTTATTCCCTTTCTGTGCAGTTGTTTAAATACCAAGTGATTAATTATGTGCATCAATGAATATAGTAAACCTATATACAAGCTATACATTTCATTTTAAAAATGCTAGTCTATAAAATGAAGCTTCTGAACTTACTCAGTTTTGTATCTATCCTACATGTAATGTATCTTTGAGATGCCATGTTGCAAATTTGCAAAGAAACTATTGTTTCACAAGACAAATGTGCCATATCTAATCCCTCAGTCACACCAACAAAACCAACATCACGCCGACAACAGACCAGCTAAAAAATTACATTACCCCTGTGGTAAAAAATAAGTCAGCTTGGAGTCAGTTTGGTGGTGTGACAGAGGTATATTAAAAAAATATTAGAAAGCTAGTTTAGTGTGTTTATCCGTCTTTTTCTTTAGGCACTTATTAGGATGCAGTTTATTTTTAACACATGATCTCATTCCATGTACCCGAATCTTGTTTCATGTGTATCGTTTGTAGAATATCAAGCTTAAGCTATACATGTCTTTTTGTGTATTTTGTTTCTGTGTTACAGTCCTGTGTAGTAACTTCCAAGTGGGACTATAAAATAAGAAGCATTTTCATTGTTACTACTGTGACTTTCATGTACTAAATATTACTTTTATGACATCACTTTTCACAATAAATAATAGACTACAAGAGAAATCCTTTTTTTTTTAATGTTTTCATTTGATTTCTTAAATGTACACAATAAGCATGATTTATGCCTTGTATATAATTATGATGGAAGTTAAAGAAGGGCACAAGAATTTAGTTGTTCTTTTTCAAATCCTCCAGTCACACCAATCATCCTAAAATAAAAACAAGGTGAATTTCTATGATTACTTGTGTGTACATGACATTTAGTATCTGAGTGCAAAACATTTCTCTCCATAACCAATAGTGGCACCTGCATATAAAGGTATACACGAATCGAGTACATTTGTCTTCTACTTGTGTTTGTAGTCATGCAACATTTAAATCAATTTTATCAAAACTACAACCTGAACTATTTCCCATGATAAATATTTCGTTTGAATACCATAATGAACAAGAAATTGACAGAGAAGTACTATTTAACTTTGTATTTATCCATGTTATCCTCTGGTATGACAATTAATTGACTGTCCAATCATCAGGCAAACTATAACATATATTTCAATTTCTTGATGAATAGGATGTTATCTCGGCCTGGACCTAATATGATTCTTAATGGAATTTGTTTTAAGAGGAAATATTTGACACAAGACATTTCTCCCCTGTCTATTACAGATCAAGTGAGCAATGATTTATGGGTCTTTCAACAATTTTTAGTTAATAGGCTATAAATACATGTGTGTATATTGATATTTAGAAACAATACACAATGAAAATATTCGAAGAATTTGCTTTTCTATAAGAGGATTATATCTTACATAAATCGTCTGCGTAGAGCTAAAGGGGTGTTAATGATGAAGGATGCATGTAGTAGAACACCATAAAAGCACGCAGCAGACAGTATCTTAATGGGGGGTGGGGGGGGGGGGCTCCTCTCCTTTTTACTTCTGAACTGTAATTCCATCAAGATGAAAAACCCTTCAATTCAATTTCATTCTAATGCCAATGGAAAAACCTTTATATTGACTGGGAGGCAGTTCCATCGATCATCCATGTCTTCACAGTTCTGGGGGAGGAGTTTTTATATTGCTGAGTCCTGGGTTGAGGTGTGGTCGAGATATCTTTGTGCGTGAACAGCTCTTGTTAATCTTGTGGATTTTATGATATGTGCCTCTGACAGGCGCGGATCCAGGAATTTTCATTGACCTCTTCCTCTCAATTTTCTGCTTCTATTAAAACCAACTTTATATCAGGGTGGACTTCCCCTTTAAGGTGTTAAAATCCCCAAGACCTTTTTAGAACGTCTATAGCACTCTATGGCCCGTATTTTTCGAACATTTGAACATTTAAAACCGACGATTACCGGTAGATTTTGCTTTTGTTCAAAATAATCAGAAGGTAGTCTGCGCTCTAACTTTTCCCTTTGTTAAACGTGATTTCAGACCCAGGGTCAACTAAATGAGTAAATTGCGGTCCAATAATTTTCTGAGTCTGCATTCCCGTCTTTGGAAGCTTATTTGTTGGTGATCTGGCGCATAGCGTAGCAGAGCACCTCAGTTGATTATCTATCTTTTTCTTCTTTTTTCCTTCTTTTTCCGACCAAAAAGGGGGGGGGGGTGGGAACTCGCACCTGCATAGGGTATACCTCGAAGCGGAAAAAATAATTCATAAACATTGGTATATACCCCTACTACATTATCAGGGATGACTTTAAAACAAATTCTCGTTATGTGCATGGTATAAGATGATTTCTCGTAGAGGAGCAAGGGGGATACAACGTCCTATGCATCTAAGTCAGTAAGTCAGGTCCAAGATACTGCTTCGATCATCACCATACTTTGAAGTCGAGTGTGACGGTCTGAAAAGTGTGATTGTCCATTAAAATAAAAACTTGAACCAGAGTGATTTTGAATATACATGCCTACTTTAGAGTATTAAGGAGTATTAATGTCCTTCTTACTCTCGTCATGGTCAAGGAACATACTCAATAACTACCAGTCTCTGGATGCATCAAATCAGCTTAGTGGAGCCTTTGCAGTATGCCCCTCAGCCTTGTCTTACTGTGCAGACACTGTTACGCACACATATGGAAACGTTGTATCATCCCTTACCAAAGAAAACTGCTTAATAAGCCTTCGATAAGCCTTCGCTAAGCCTTCACAAAGCCTTCAAAGACTTCATAAGCCTTCGAAGGCTTGTTTTAGTCTTCGACTGCTTATTAGTTTGCGAGAGCTAAGCCTTCAAAGACTTTCATATAAGCAGTCCAAAAATGTTGACTGCTTATTAAGCAGTCAGTAGAAAATAAGCCTTCAAGATAAGCAGTCGCTGAAAATAAGCCTTCAAAGATAAGCAGTCACTTTTAAAGAAGACCGCGAAGGCCTTCATTTTCCAAATGTGTGCTGCCATCTAGTGGTAGAAGGCGAATAGGCCAACCGGTAATTTTCAAATTCAAATCTTCACTGAGACTCTGAGCTGAGCTGAACGGCGCATATTTCAATCATTACTTTGCAATTTCGCCAGATTTGTCTTCCTGTAAAACCCACAGTATAGGGAATAAGGGGTAGATTATTTACACCAGGAAAGAAGAATTTTGAGAGTATTCTAGAGCAAGAATTTAACAAAATGAGAAAGGATCGAATTTTGTTACCAAGATTACAGTCCCACACAAGCACTCTTGTGTTTGTTGAAATACGACCAACTTTGCTTTGCACTGGACTGCTAGCTGCTGGAGCTACTTTAAACATCTTCATTTTGTCCAGAAGGTGAGTAATACAATTACACAATACGAAATTGAGTTTGCTTTCTGTACAGATTAGGAAATTGCATGGTCATTGATTTTGTAAATACTTGTTCACAAATATATTTGAGCAAATTAGCGCAGCTGCAGTTGATGACGGAAGGTTTAGGTAATATAGGCAGTCGAAGGTTTGTACCCAGTGGACAACGCTCGAAGGTTTAGGGGATAAGCAGTCGACAACGAAGGTTTAGGTGATTCAACGACGAAGGTATAAGCAGTCAATGATGAAGGCTTACAGCCGCTTAGCTAATTTGCATATTAACTTGGCTGTGGGAAGGCCTACGGACTGCTTATAAGCCTTCGAAGGCTTAGGAAGGTTTAAACACGACTGCTTATATAGAGCTTCATTATAAGCAGTCGACTGCTTATTTAGAGCTTCATTATAAGCAGTCGACTGCTTATTTAGAGCTTCATTATAAGCAGTCGACTGCTTATTTAGAGCTTCATTATAAGCAGTCGAAGCTAATTTGCATATTAACTTGGCTGTGGGAAGGCCTATCGACTGCTTACAAGCCTTCGAAGGCTTGCAGCAATACATTGACATGCATGTTGCAAATGAAGGCTTGCGACTGCTTATATCGACTGCTTGTGACTGCTTATGCGACTGCTTAGCGAAGGCCTTCAGTTCGGTAAGGGATCCGCTCAATCTGACTTGCGTGCATAGAACAAATAAGCATTTTTCCATGATAAAGTGAAGTTTTCTAAAATGTGCGTTTCTTTCCAGCATTGGGGCGCCCGGAAGTCACTCGGGTAACATTTGATAAAGTATAATATAAAAAGACCATATGCAAATTTTCTGTACTTTTGTCGGAAAAAATACATTTATCCAGCACAATGTCGTCTCTTTTTGCGTTGGAGAAGAGCAAATAGCGAGTTTCAATCACACTTTGGCCGCTCTCGCAAGCTCTCACTCGTTTCACTGTGGTCAAGAGACTTTGGGGCAAGCGGTTAATGAAAATACTAATCGTTAGCTTCCTTCTGGTATCAAACTTGTTTTGATTGATAGTATAATTTTGTCGGAATAAAGGAAACAAAAAGGCTCGACCAATAACTTATCTGCGTCTGAATTGACCTTTTGACCTTGAATTCCCTGATGCAAGCGCACTAATGACGTAATCTTCGCTAAATCGGTGTCTTTTATAATTGTAGAATGCGACACTTTCACAATGTTTATATATCTTTTTTTAATTGTTAGTAAGATATGACATATTTTTTCTGATATCGACTGAAGTTTTGGGTTTTATTTAATGAGTAATTTTAAAATAAGAGCCATTTTACTGTTTTAATTTACTGGATCGTACCATTAAAGTCGCAGGGTAGAAAGATGCATTTTCCATCCGCGCCAAATTTAATTTACGTTCCGACATTTTGTTAAATGGGTTCGTGTTGTTAAGAATCCACTGCTTTCTGCTCCTACAAACGTCCACATGCGGAGTCGTTTATCAACTAAATTATTCAAATTTATGGATGCTTCCTAGCTTCCCAGATGTTTGTGTTGCTGTTGAAGCATTTCATTCACCTGCCACATGCTTTGTACTCCAATTGTTAGAATACAAAATGCATTTTGGTTTTATAGTTTCATGCAATAATTAAGTAAGTCAATAAAAGAGTATGTTCTGCACAATAAAAACAATGTGTGTCCCTATTGTACAATGTAATGTGTCCCCTCATTTTGTAATAGTTAATTTACCCATTCACATAATGGAACTACCTGCCCGATGAAGCCATTGGCCTGTGACCCCTGAGCACTCAACACCGTACGTGTGGGAGTCAGTTCGTGGTCAAAGTCTTTTATGAGACAAATACAAGCAAACGTTTCCATATGCGACTGGCAAGGCTTTGTGACGGCAACCTATATCATAACATAAGCCTAGTACAAGTAGGTCTGCAGTATAGATAGTATACTTTGTTTGCGAGATCATGTTGTGGGCTTTCCCCATATTTTCACAAAGTGGGCCTAGGCCGAAAACGAGGTGGGTGTTATTTCCTGTTATGTTGAACTCTCATGATCTTTCTTTCCTCACCCAGAAGCAGAGGTCACCTCAGTTGATCTATGGGATTAACAGAGTCTACAAAAGTCCCAGAGAACTATTCAAAAGGCATACATTATATCAAAATAGAGAGAGAGAGAGAGTGAGAAATAGGGGGAGGAGGGGAAGAGGGAGAAAGAGAGAGTGTGAAAAAGTAAGAAAATATTGCCCTGAACAAATTACGTTTGGTCGCATTCCTCAAAATTAAATGTTAATGATAATTCAGTTTATTTGGCAACATA